AGTTATCAAACCAGCAGTGTTAATCTTGTAAAAAAAAAAGTAAATCATCAAACAGTTATAGAAAAATCAAATCAAGCTGAATAATTTAAAAGGCATAGCAAATCTGCCGTGTTTATATCGTTGTTAACATTAAAATTTCAAAATCAACGTTTGACAAGACTTGTCTGCTATTCTATGTATAATATTTCAAACACAAATGCATATCAACTGCAGCGAGGTACTTACACTTTCTTAGCATAAAACTTGGGTTAGGTACGGCTTGTTCTAATTAAAACAGCAAATAAATCATCAAAAATATCCATGCATTTTATTATAACTTCATGCATTTCTTTTTACCAAAAAAAAAAAAAATACATGCATTTGATTAGGTAAAGGTTTCTTTGGAAAAAATAATCAATTAAAAATAGAATTTAAAGAAATGTTTAGTTTAGAGATTGATCTATTTATTTCAAAACTTATCAAATTTCTCTTTGTTTTTCATTACATGCATCTATAGATATTCACTACATGAAAATTATTTCAATCTGTTAAATCATTTTTTTTTTTTGCAATTTTGAAAATATCATGCAATTCTAAAACTCATGCAAAAAATAACTCTTGAGATTTTCCTTTTCTTTTTTTTCAGAAAAAACAGCTAATAGAATTTTTTATAAAGAAATAATAAACATCTCCAAGAGTTTGAAAACAGAACACACACACTTCTGAAAAACAAAAATGGAAGAATATCTAGAGTGACCGGAGTTGTTTTTATTGCCATGGGTAACAGTTTAGAAATAACACACTACAACAACAACAACAAACAGTTAGACCGTTCTGTGCTTGAATTATTTGGTGGGTAAGAAAAATTTGAAATTAATTGATTTATCCATATTAAAAGTGTTCATAATTTGCTTCTTCAAACTTAACGAGTTATAAATTGCGTTACACTAAACCCTTCAGTTATTTCCAAATATCCTGGACTGTAAAATAACTAGTTTTCTATAAATTTTGTAAAGCTACAGGGAATTCAAGGCAAATATATTTCTGGGATGGTCCTACTAAAACTGGACAAAGGAATTACAAAACTATCAATTATATACAGATAATAGCATACAATGTACACTAAGCATTGGGGTTTTGAGTACAAAACAAAGCCAAATAGCAATAAACAAATTCAAAGGCTCAAAAAACAATTTAAAAAACAATGTTACCATAGCAATTAAACCTCCAGCTCACTAAAACCAGGGTGACCTATGGCTGTGGCTACACTAAATTCTTTTTCAAAAAAACTCTGTGTCTTTACAAAATTGTACAATTTTAATAATAAAAATGTGTAAACACGTGCTAAAAATATGTCCGCATAGGAAAAATACTATTAAGAAACGATATAACAACAGTATTAACCAAAACTATAAGTTCACATGACCACGGGCCTACCTTCATTTCACTGGTTAATTTCATTTTTTTGCATGATCCACCCTAAACGTCTAAAAATCTTCTATTCTTCATGTTGCAATCGAGTTGCTTGAATTTTGAAGTTAAATTCTGAAGCATAGTAGAAACAAAGTTTACAATAATTGGTAAACATAATATGTAAAAACATTTCCCTACAACAAAAAGTATTAACTTTGTAACAGTCTAATCATAAAGTGGATTATTTATAATGAATCAATGTTTTTAAATATTTAAAAGGGGCTTTCCAGCTTGAGGGGTTTTTTTTTTACTTGATTTTGGACGGGATATAACTTTTGAAGACTTTCCCCAACCATTTTAAAAAGATCTTTACCAATAACTTATTGGGCCAAATTTTCAGATCAAATTCACTTAACCTGCTATTTTTTCCAGAATTTTGCTGTTTTCATTGTGGCAAAAATGAACAATATTGAAAAGCATTGTAAATCTTTTTAAATCAAAATCGGGCTAAGAATCGTGCTAAATTATCGATTTTTCAAGTTTTGAATTGTGAATTTTTTTTTATTTTTTTTCCACGATAAATTTTGTAAATTTTTCATGTAAACCCCAGCTGAATATATGTTGATTTTTCAAAAGTTTAATATGTTTTCAGGCTTTTTGACCCTGTCAGGGAAACTCCTTTTAATATATGGGCCAAATTTAATTGTCAAAACCAAATAATCACAATTTGTTTCTTTCTTCCTCTTTTTTCAATTCTTTCAATATTCTTATACTTAAAATTGCCACAAGAATGCTTTCAGTGTTCACACAATGAACTTAAATTTCATATATAATACATGTATATGTTATCAACTCAATTAGTTGACCACTGAAGTTTTTAAAATATTTGGATACATTTGGTAACTAATGCAACATTATCTTCCATTTGTTAGATCTGTTATCCTTGGTTTTATTTCTTTGCTTTTACAAAGAATTTTTTATACCTTTTGTCCAGAAAGCTACGTAGTCAAGCAATGACAAATGTCATAATTTTTTATAATCAATAAAATTTTAAAATTTAAAATATATCTTGCTAAACTTATAACCCTAACTGAAACAATGATAAATAATAAACTGCAGGAATTTACATAAAACCTTAGCCAGCTAGCGTGCTACACAATTTACCCCGTGCCACCAGTGCAGACCAAAAATAAAGCTGGCACTGATCATGGTCTGCACTGTTTGCTATTCAGGCAGTAAAAAAATTGAAAATTTTCTCCTAAAAGCTGATGAATTGGTCATAGTCCAGGATGAAAGATTTGGACAAGTCCATATAACATATTTAGGGTGGTAAGGGTTTTTAATACTTTACATTTACAGTTATATCAAAATCTAGCCACCATAACACTTATTCCTATATTTGTAAATGGTGGTCGATAAAGTTAACACATACAGAACAAGAAAACTAGCTTACTAAGATAGGCAGGAAAAAAAAATGTTATTTTTAACATCCCATCTTCTTAACAAAAGAACTTTTATAAAGTTTTGGTTTCATACCCGGTACATGAAACTTTAAGATTCTTAAGTCAAGTTTTAGCAACAAAAACCAAGTTTCATAATAGATTGTTGGAGTAAGTGCCTTGTATAGAACATACTAAAACAGTAAATACATCCATCACCAGTCATATAAAAATATTTCTTTTTTTACCTAATTATGTTCACATATTATGAAGTCATTTTAACATTTTAGTCAATTTGAATGATCTGCCATTCACTTATAACAATAATTATAACTAATGATAATTCTAGTTTTTGGTCATTGTTGCATAATTCAAATCTTGTTGAGTAATAACAGTTTATAAATAAGAAGGCAGATACATTGGTGTAGTAATGAGTAAAATAGGTACATGATTAATTGAAAACTTGTGTGAACAAAAACGTTCTACATGTATTTGGTTTCCAAAATATAAAAAAATGTCATAAAATATTGTACTTGCAGAGGAAATGCTGCACCATCAACAAAGATTATCATTAACAAAATGAAAGCTAAATAACTATCACAGACAAGTTTATAGCAGACGTCACAGTAACACACAATATCTAGCAGTGAACAGAAATTTTACCGTATATATTTTGGTTCACATTGTGAAAGAACATTAAATTTTGCTTTATTTCTAAATACTGTGAAACCATTTAAATTCATGGCAAATATTTCTATCCATTATCAATGATCAAATCACAAAATATAAATATAATATTTACCACAATTTATTCTTTAACTTCGCGAGAGATTCAGCAAAGAAAATATGCCTTTATAGATTTAAGGAATTTCAGACTATTTAAAAAAACAAAGCTTTAAAGCTCGCAAGCTAAGATTTTCTTTTGCTTTAATAATAAGATTATCAACAACAATTGCAAGACAATGGTCAGAGGATTACATAAGGTCATGACATTTGAAGCAAGAGTAAGGGCACAGTTCAAATAGCAACCAGCGTCAGTCTAGGTTTTCATATAGAAAATACTCAGAAAATTCTGTTTTTGAAGGCCCCGATTTCAAAGCAGTAAAAAAAAAAAAGAAAACTAGAAATGTGTCATCATGCCACGGATGCCCCCGCATGCAGCCAAAATTTCAGATGTTATAATATTTAGTTCCAAATTTGTTTGCACAAATTATTGTTTTCATTTTAAGTTCAAAGCCCTTTAAACTTTTCAGTGTTAACACAAACCATTTTCATACAATATTCAAGGCACTGAAATTATTCAGTCTTAACCTTTTGAAAATAGCATATTTCATATTTGTAGCCAAATAATGGCTATACATACATTTCCACAAAAGTATGAGTGCTGAAACAAAAAGTTCAAAAAATTTCCAATATTCAAGAAAGATAAGGTTGTCCAAAATCATTAAACCATGACCAAATTCAAACTTAAACTGCTTATTCCTAAGACGTATCTATATTATTTTCAAAGTGAAAGGGACATAACTCTGCCAAAAAATCATCGAACCATGACCAAATTCCAACTTGACCTGCCCATTCCTTTGACATATCCATATGTCAAATTTGAGTTGAATATGTAACACTGTTGGTTAGATAATGAAACAGAAACTGTAAATTTCATATTATTTTCAAAGTGAAAGGGGCATTACTCTGCCAAAAATCATTGAACCATGACCAAATTCGAAATTGGCCTGGGCATTCCAGAAACATATCCATATGTCAAATTTGAGTTGAATGTGTTGTACTGTTGGGGAGATAATGAACGGAAACTGAAAATTTCATATTATTTACAAAGAAAAAAGGGGCATAACTCTGCCAAAAATCATCCAACCATGACCAAATTCGAACTTTACCTGTATTTTCTCATGACATATCCATATGTCAAATTTGAGTTGAATGTGTTGTACCGTTTGGGAGATAATGAACGGAAACTGAAAATTTCACATTATTTTCAAAGTAAAAGGGGCATAACTCTGCCAAAAAAATCATCGAACCATGACCAAATTTGAACTTGACCTGTATTTTCTCATGACATATCCATATGTCAAATTTGAGTTGAATGTGTTGTACCGTTGGGGAGATAATGACAGAAAACTGAAAATTTCATATTATTTTCAAAGTCAAAGGGCATAACTCTGCCAAAAATCATCGAACCATGACCAAATTCGAACTTGACCTGTATTTTCTCATGACATATCCATATGTCAAATTTGAGTTGAATGTGTTGTACCGTTGGGGAGATAATGACAGAAACTGAAAATTTCATATTATTTTCAAAGTCAAAGGGGCATAACTCTGCCAAAAATCATCCAACCATGACCAAATTCCAACTTGACCTGTATTTTCTCATGACATATCCATATGTCAAATTTGAGTTCAATGTGTTGTACCGTTGGGGAGATAATGAACGGAAACTGAAAATTTCATATTATTTTCAAAGTAAAAGGGGCATAACTCTGCCAAAAATCATCGAACCATGACCAAATTCGAACTTGACCTGTATTTTCTCATGACATATCCATATGTCAAATTTAAGTTGAATGTGTTGTACCGTTGGGGAGATAATGAACGGAAACTGATGATGACGGAATGACAGAATGACGGAATGACGGAATGACGGAAGGACGGAATGACGGAAGGACGGAAGGACGGAATAGGGTAACACTATATGCCCCGGCCATTACATGGCGGGGGCATAAAAAAAAGGAAATGTAGAATGCATAAAATGATCACAGCCTTGAGACTTGATTCTGTAAATTTCTGCTGAATGAAAAATGACTAAAAACAGCAAAAAATACAAAAAAAAATCTTGGAAAAAAAACACTTTTTTTTCACAACATCTATAAATGTAATAATCTAAAGTAGCTTCAAACTCCTAATTAATTGAGCAAAACATTATTTTCTCATAAAATACTTATGTACCAATTTTCTGTATGCTCTTAACTCCCTATCAAAGTATTTGTATATCTGAAATAAATACATTAAAATTAAAAAAAAAAAATATTATCAAACCGGATATTGTATTACTTAAACCCATGCAGGTGGAGATATTTTAAATATCAAACTGCACATTTTTTCTGGGATAAGCATTGTATCGGTCAGGACTTTTAGGGGCTAGAATGCTTCTTGCACTTGACTGCTTAGAGTCGTAGTCGGAATCAAACTGATCACTGTCAAAATACGCCTGTTTCTGATCACTTCCGACTAGACTTAATGGATATTGTTTATGCTCTTTTTTGGCTTGATGAAACCTAGACTTAAATCTATCCAGTCCACTATTAGTCACAACTTGTGCCCGTCCCCTTTGTACTGGTTGCCTCGGTGAGCTATTCACCTCAGCCCATCCTTGCCGTGGAGTCGGCCTTTCACGAAAACTTTGGGACTTGGGATCTCTTGCCAGGGAAACATTTCTTAAATTCAAAGAAATATCTTGACCTCGTCTAGGGGATACAACTCTTGGTGACATTCTAGGAGAAAAGTTGTTATTGCTGGATTCTCCAATGAATGGATCAGAGGAGACAACTGCTCCTGTAGGAGAAGCCTGCCGGTCAGAATTATCCCCCTTAGAATTAAGTAACCTAGAGTTGTCGCCCCTAGCTTTTGGTGTTGGTGAGAGGCGTGGTGAGGGTGTGCGAGAAGTCTGAAAAGCTGAACTCACCACAGGCCTCCCAGGTGAACCCACCTTATTAGAGGGTTTTATATCATTTAATTTAGTAGCTTTTTCTTTAGGTCCCTCTAGAGTTGTGAGTAATTTTTTGTGAATAATGTCCAATTCGTGCCGTAGTCTGTTACACTGTTCTTCTAATGGTCCAGTCTTCTTTTTCTCTTCAAAATACCTTTTTTTCCATAAATCTCGAGCTGAAATTAAATATTTAAAATAAATGTCATTCATTTAACAACTTTATGTTACATCATAATATCAATAAGCACAATTTCTTTTATGTACAACCCAACATTGTAACATGAAACTTTGCACCGATCAAAAAGAGGCATCTTCAAAAAATAGGAGTGACTTTTACTTATTGATTTTTCTGCAGACAGTTAGGTGATGAAATCCCACTAAATGTCATGCACAAACAAATCTGTGGTCATATCTTGGTGGGCAATCCACCCCTCCAGCTTCCTGGATAGCTATCTAGTTATGGCCAATTTGCCAATTTCTAGTGACTAACATGATTTCTAAAAGACAGGTAAATGACATTATTTATATCAATGTCTGAAAATTGTCACGGAGAAATTTCATTTCGCCTAAGAATCAAACCAGCATCACGCCCATATTATATATCCCATGCTTTACCTTTTGAGCAAACAAAAATAATTAAAACAGAGTAAAGATTATGACTGTGAAAATTTACCATGATTTCTTTTATTCTGTGTTTTTGTTTGCATTTGTTTAGCATGTTTGACAAGTTCTTCTCGCTGTCTTTCCGCTGCCCGTCGAGCGTCCCGAGCTTCATCCAGCTCTCGTAACAATTCCTCTTCTGCAAAACAAATCACAGTAATCATTACATATATCACCTTTGAAACCATTTTTCCCATTTTTGTTTGGTTTGAAATGATAAGTATCTCCACTACCAATTCAAATTACCTATATATTTATGTTACCCTGATTCACTAAATCCTGCAAGACAGAAGTTGGTGGGTTTTTTATGTTACAAATCACAACCTAATTGCAATAAGCTGTCTCTATAATTTATACACTCTATGACCTCTATCCCGATTTCCTAATTTCATTTTAATAGTTTTCAAATTTCTGCCTCCCTTTTTTAAAAAACTTTTTGATTTTTTTGCTTTTTCCCTAGATTTAGATTTATCCTTTACTTATCCACAATTTTAAAATGTCATTAGCAATAAAAAAATGGGGGGTAAGCAAATAACTCTGATCTATACATTAGAAAAACTTCAGAAACCAAAACATAACATAGTGAACAGTATTGTGTTCTGATATTTGAAGAACCATTCACAATATTATCAATACATATTTTCAAATATAGAAACAGCTCTTTCTTTTATGCTGATTTATGTAACTTGAAATCCCTGGGTCGGCTGAAAAAAAATAGTGCAAAATAACAATTTAATCTGAAACGAATTCATGTTACAGATTAAATAGATTATCTGCACGAAGATTTTATTTGATTGGTTTTAGTCGCAAAACTGTCAGCAGTCAGTTGTCAGTGCTTTGCAGAAATCTCACACGCACAAAAAATATACAATCATGCACAACGTTCAGTACAGCTTTACGCACAATGTGCATATTTTACTTACCGATTTACATCCACGGAATAATTACATGTATAAAAATTTATTTCATATTTTAAAGTCAAAGGAATTTAAGGATCTATAGAAATCTTATTTTAATGATGAATCATAAACCTAGACTTCAAATCTTTGATAAATTTCGTTAATAAACTGACAATTTTCTCCTTTTGTTATTAAAAACTACGGAATGGAAACATGACAACATTTACAGAAGCTTTATCATTAATACTCGTATATATCTGACAAACCGTGAGAAAAAAATAACTTTAGAAAATAAAATACACAAAAATTCAGTGTATATAATTTAAATACCTAAGATTTAAGTTATTTCAGGTGTTTTGTTTACAAAATGATGATCACAAATTTATTTTTTTATATAGTTTTTACTATAACAAGGGAGTACATATAAGTGTTTAGATTATTTTATTTTAAAATTCACACTACCCAATCTTATAACTTGTCAAAATAATAATACAAATTTCAACACAATAAAAGTAACATCTAAAATTTTCTGTAGATACTGCTTTTTAACAATGACTCAAGAAATATATCACAAATCTTATCCATGTAAGGCCCGTCACCAAAAAAAGTGGTAATTCAAAATAAACACAACACCTTACCTTAGTTACAAATGACGTTATATAATATGGGAAACGGTTTAAACATACACAGCTATAAGTAATTTTCTTCGGTTAGACATCTATATATATTGACATAAAATGATAAAACAGTCAACAGGTATATATGATTTCTCTAAGATAATAACGTGAGAATATTTCAATATAAATTACTACAGAGATAAAGATAAATATCCACTTTCTAGGTATAAAAGGAATGTTCTACCAAATTGACAGTTATTGTAAAGTAGGTTTTTCATATCGTTTTTCTTCTTCTTGTAATAGAAAAACTAAAACACAAATCATTCTAATACTAACTTCTAATAAAAAAAGAAAATTGTAAGAGGAAAATTTCTTTACTTTTTTCACAATGCTTTCAATATGATGAAATTAGTAAACATAAGTTATACCTTTACCGATAAAAAGAAAAAAAATCTTCACCCATAAATAGATTAGATATATTATTTTACCAGTTTGATTTATTATCATTATAAGTACATTCATGAATGTTTATTAACATACTTTGTCTCTTGCGTCTCTCTCTGGCCGAAGCAGTGTCTCTGTCAGGGGAGGCAAGCCTGAGTGGAGGCGGGGACGGGTACTTTGTCAACTCCTGCAACAAAAATATTTGTGTGTACATATTTCTATTTGCGGAATAATATGGCATATTTGAATCTGTAAACATTTAACTTTATCACACAATATATATATATTTTAGAAAGTCGGTGTTAGTTAAAAACCAACAAATATATGTAAATACATTACAGACAATCTTTGTTTAAACATTTAACATATTTTTGAGAAAGGCACTAAATAAATTTATAGGTACAAATTTCATTTATCAAAATTAACATTGTTTACTTTTCAATGCATTATGAAAAAAATGCTTAATTCAATTCAATAAAAACAAGCAATTATCATAGTATTGCAAGCAATCCATAAGTCCCCTACCGGTAAGAGCCCAAGCAACATTCTGAAGGGCCATTGGCCATTCACTTAGGTTCCTATTTTAAGTAAATTTGTTGAAAAAGTTCTTTAAAAGTGATCACAGGAAACAGTTTTTATGTACAGACAGACGGACTGAAGGACACTCTAAAGTTATTTTTTAAACATCCCTGTTATCAAAATATAACATTTTTAAAATCCTATCATGATTGAAGAAGTTGGAGTAAAAATTACCAATTTCTCAAAAAAAAGTCTAAGTTCAAAAGGGGCATAATTCTGGAAATAGTCTTGCTAGAGTATTGAACACTCACAAATGTTGAGTGACAATAAGAAACATTTATATGAAGTTTGAAGTAGATACATTCAGAAAAAGAAGTTATTAAAAAAAACAATGTTTTTTTCATGAAAATTTTAAGTTCAAGGGAGGTAATTCTGATAAATTTTGTGCTAGAGTTGTAAACCTTGTCACATATGACGTGGTTGATGACAAGCAACTTATATTTAAAGTTTGAAGAAAATACCTTAAGAAATAAAGAACTTATAGTGAAAAAACTTAAAAACTAGAATCAGAAATCTTGAAATTCAGTCTATTTGTTGCCATAGCAACCAGAATTTTAACATAGGAAGATAAAAAAAGATGTGCATAATTTCCATACTGCCATCTACCCATATGTCAAGTTTCATAAACATATTTTCAGTACTTTTTGTGTTATCACTGGATCCAGGTTATGTGTAAAATTTGCCATATTTTCAGTCTATTTGTTGCCATACAACCAGAATTTTCAACATAGGAAGAGAAGAAAATGACGTGCATAATCTCCATACTGCCATCTATCCATATATCAAGTTTCATAAAAATATTTTCAGTACTTTTTGCATTATCGCGGGATCCAGGTTATGTGTAAAATTTGCCATATTTTCAGTCTATTTGTTGCCATAGCAACCAGAATTTTCAACATAGGAAGAAAAGAAAAAGACGTGCATAATCTCCATACTGCCATCTATCCATATATCAAGTTTCATAAAAATATTTTCAGTACTTTTTGCGTTATCGCGGGATCCAGTTTTGTGGACGGACGGACTGACGGACTGACGGACGGACTGACGGACAGACAGTCGGACGGAGGGTAAACCTAAAGTCCCCTCCGGTAAACCGATAGGGGACTAACAAGTGCCAACAAAATCAAACAAAAAACAAAATGCAAACATCAATACAAACAGTAAAATATCTGAAAATCACAAAAACATCGCCATTCTTGGTTTTATTTTTTCAATGGACCACCACCATTGGTCAACTTTAAAAAAATCTCCCCTTAAATCCACCAATCAGATAGCAAAGATTATTTCAAATCACTTATCTCTAGTATAAGGACCTCTGACCTAACCTAATACATGTATATGACGTAGGATATGACATTTCAGATCTTAAACGAGGCCTCTAGTATCTGACATTAATTTTTCAAGCAGATGAATAGCCCTAGACATTATCAGTACAATAACTCATGCTGTTGTCAAAAATATGTTTTAAATCTGCATTATCATTACACAAATATAGATCTACCACTTATCATATAGTAAAGTCTTTTCTCAAGTATCATTAGCTGATTACAAGTCAAGTTAAAATATGTTTCTTATGGAATTGAAATTAAAAATGTCAAAATTAAGACGTCTCTCAATTTTTGATGTAAATCAATGCCCTAGTACAGATATCTCTTTGTCTATTTCATGCATAAAGCTCTCAATATGTGTGAAAAAAATAATAGTTTAAGAGGTCAAAGCTCTGTAAATATTCATCGTAAGCACCATAATATTAACATAAACACTTAATTTGTAGACCCAGCCCTTCTCCGCCCATGAATATAAAAAAATTAAAGCCAGTATTTCTAGTCCTTATTTGTTTTTAATACTAGGATGACATGGTCTTAGAGAATATAACATGTGAAACATTATATAAGTTTCAGCCGAATTCTAGCACCATAATAATAATCACAGACACTTTGGTTGTAGATCCCACCCTTCCTCCACACCTGAATATTGAAAATTAAAACCAGTATTTTTGGCATAATTATGTCAATAGAGGTAAAACATTATCTAGTGTCTAACAGGAAAACATTGAGTTTCATCAGAATTTCACTAGGCATTTAAGAAGTCTTTTTTTTACACACACTTTAAAATAGTGGAAAACAAGTTTTATTGTTCAAGACATGTGACCAAGTCGTAATAATATGCAAAATATTTTTACAAATGGTTTGCAAAATAAATTTATTTTTAATGTATACAAAACTGGATCAAGAAGGGGAGGAGCAACTCACATAACCCCAAGTGTCTGTGATATTAATATATGCAAACTTTGCATAGTCTAGTGAAAAAATGGGCACAACAACATTGCTTTAAGATACCTAATTATTCAAGTTGGAACATGCTTGTTTCTATGATTAAGCAAGACCAAAACAGCACCTTCTTTGAAACAAATCAAGGTTATAGTGCTGTTGCATCATACAGAGTCACAAACACAACAATTTTTTTTTTTCAAAGTCAACAAGATTTTAAGTGACACCAACACTGTTGGAGTCCTATGGCGACTTTCCAACTTAAGTGGTTGAGAAATATATTTTCCGCCGGTTAAGTGAAGCGAATTAGGCGGTAAATAATTTCCTTTGCATTGGATAGATCTTTTGAATGTACCAATCAGAAGTTGTTTTGTTTAATTACGTATGCACGAGTTACTGTGCATTATGAATTGTAATTGTAAGTCATTCAGCTTTGGGTATCGATACTTTACAGTCGCAGTAATTTTTAACATGGATTCTTCACCTTCTCGTCAAAATGAAGTTCAACAATCTGATATCAACCAAACGTTGCAGTTGGTACTCGATCAGTTAAAAGGGCAGCGACAAGAAATCAGTTCCTTGAGAGAAGACGTTAAAGGAAACAATTTTTCCGTCACGTCGGAGGTCAAAAAGTTGAAAGAAAAAGAACTTTCGTGGAAGAAAGAAGGTAACAAGATTCAATACACTTTTAACTCTCAAGTGTCTGATTTGGTTGGACAAGCCACCTGGGCTATTCAAAACAATAAACTTGATTACGCATTGGACTTGTTGAAGGAAACTGACGAAAAAGTTCACCAACGTAATAAACTCATCCGAATTGCAGACACGAGTGAGGGTGGCTGGGAAACGGTGCGCCAATACGAGGCTAATCCAGTTGCCAGCGATAGCGAGGACGAAAACAAAATATCTAAGGCAGAAAACAGGGCTTTACGTAAACGTAAACGAAGTCTGCAGAAGAAGTCGTCTACATCGCAACCTAAGAATGCATTACTTCCAGGGCCTCCTTCTTATGGTAGGAATCCTCCACTTCAGTCATGGGGTATGCAGAATTCCGCTTCGGCAGGGGCAAGTACTTCTAATTTTCGTCCCTACTCAGGAAAGATCTATGGCAGTTGCTTCGCATGCCGGGATTTCTCCCACTACAGAAAAGACTGTCCATACGTGTCAGGCACCTACACCAAGCAGAGGTATCCAACCGACAACGCCCAGAACAGAAAATGAAACCGCCGATTTGACAGATGAGTATTCTATTTATAGATGTAACTGTATTGATTTTCACGGTGAAAGTTTCACCCATGATTATTTCGAGTACGAACAGGGTCAGAAATCTATTATTGTAAAAGATAGGTTAAAACAAAATGTGAAATTTTGGCAAACAATTGGAACTAATGAATTTATTTTGGATGTTATCACAAATGGGTATAAAATTCCTTTCTTTTCTTTGCCACCTGCATGTATTTTAAAGAATAATAAATCTGCTTTAGATGAAAGTAGTTTTGTACATGAAGCAATTACTGATTTATTATTGAGAGGGTCGATTCAAAAATGTGATAAAATTCCTACTGTTGTTAATCCTTTGACAGTTTCAGTTCAGTCATCAGGGAAAAAACGTTTGATACTTGATTTAAGGCATGTAAACAAACACTTGTGGAAACAGTCTGTAAAGTACGAGGATATCCTAGTCCTATAACATAAGACGTTTCCGTTCATACTACGTACACTGGAGTGTACGTAGTATGAACGGAAACGTCTTATGTTATAGGACTAGAGGATATCCGAATCGTACTCAATTATTTTCAACCCGATTGTTACATGTACAAATTTGATATTCATTCTGCTTATCATTTCATTTCAATATTTCCATCTCATACTGATTTTTTAGGTTTTTCATGGACTGATGAAAATGGCAAAACTACATTTTTCAAATTTTTAGTATTACCTTTTGGAATAAGTACAGCCCCGTATATTTTTACCAAATTAACAAGGCCTCTTATTGCCAAATGGAGAGGAGAAGGGAAAATGATTATTATGTTTTTAGATGATGGTTTCGGATGTGATAAAGATTTACCTGGTTGCCAAGATACTGCACTTTCAGTAAAAAATGATCTTCTTGAATCTGGGTTTGTCCCCAAGGCAGAAAAGTCTTTGTGGGTACCAGTGCAAAATCTTGAGTTTTTGGGCACTGTTCTTGATTCTACTCTAAACAGTGTTTATATACCTGATAGAAGGGTTCAAAAGACTTTGAATACTTTAATGGATGTTGAAAATTCCATAAAGAAACACAGGCGGGTTCATGTGAAAAAAGTTGCCAGTTTTGTAGGTCAGATTATATCTATGTCCATTGTGTTGGGTCATATTTCTCAAATAATGACACGAAATTTAAGCATAGATATAGCCAGCGCATTTTCTTGGGTATCTTACATTCATTTAAGTGTAGAAAGCATGGCTCAATTAAATTTTTGGAAAGAAAGTTTACAAATTTTGAATATTAACAAGTTACATATTGTTGATATTTTCACTAAGTGTGTTTATAGTGACGCTAGTGTCACAGGATTTTCAGGTTATGAGGTGGAAACTGTAAATGGGGTGGCTCATGGTTTATGGTCAAATACTGAAAAGTTAAGATCCTCTACTTGGAGAGAGTTAACTGCTGTATTTAGAGTTATACAATCTCTTAGACAAATATTGATAGGTCACAAGGTCAAATGGTTTACTGATAACCAGGCCGTTAGCACCATTGTTAAAAAAGGGTCAATGAAAATTGATTTGCAAGAAATCGCTCTAAATATATTTAGTTATTGTTTGAAGAATAGCATTATTTTGGATGTTGAATGGATACCAAGAGAGAAAAATGAAAAAGCTGATTATTTGTCCAAGATAATTGATAAAGATGATTGGGGAATATCCCGTCATATTTTACATATGATTGAAAATAAATGGGGCATACTTGAAGTGGATTGGTTTGCATCCAGTCACAATAATAAGTTACCCACATTATATTCTCAATTTTGGAATGAGACGTGCTCAGGCGTAGACGCATTTGCTGAATTTTGGGGCAAGAAAATGGGTCTTTTTGTTCCACCAGTTATTATATTAGCTAGAGTTATCAAAAAGATGCAGTTAGATAAAGCTAATGGTGTATTGATAGTGCCTTTGTGGGAATCGGCTAATTTTTGGCCGTTATTGTGTCAAAAGGGCAAATTTATTTCAAATATTGTTGACTGGATTGATCTACCAACAAACAAAGAAAATTACACAGTTTGTAAAAATGGAAAGGGTATATTTGGAAATGAGAATCTTAAATTTAGAATGCTGGCATTGAGAATAATTTTTTAAATTTTGTAGTACATATACTGGTTAACCCGTTTCTAGCTGGGGTAAATTATTACATTTTTATTTTATTTAGTTTCAATTTCTCCCAAAATAGATTGTACCGTTGTTCTGATGAATGATTTATACATGTATGTTTATATAGAAGTCATATCTGTAGTTTATAACGTGGGCGTGGCTGCCTATATAATCGCTACATAGATTGAAATATTTTGTTTAGGCTGACAAGCTTTGATAATATGTATAAATTATTTATTTGGCGCAGCTGCCATTATAATTGCTACATAGATTAGAATATTCTATGTAGGCTGACAAGCCTTGATAATATGTATGACATTTTTCATAAATATATATTGTTTAATTGGCATGGCTGCCGTTATACTTGCCAGAATGTTAAACAATGTGACAACCTTTGATAACATATGTATGAAAGAGAAAAAATTTCAGATTTCATGGTTTATGTGCAATGATCGTGTTCAGTATTATACATATATATATAATGTAGCTTTAATGATAACTGTATGCAACGGAAATTTTATCAATTTAATCACTATTAAATTGTTGAATATTGATGTTAGTAATTAATGATACTAATAATTTATTTTTCTATAAATCTGTTTTTTCAGTGTCATTCTGACGATATAGATGATTTACCGGAAGTGTTAGTCGACAAGGTGCCTTGGATCCCGGAACTACTGAAGGACGCTCGTGCAGAAAGCACCACCAAAACTTATTACAGAACTTTCATTCGGTGGAAAAAGTGGGCCTTGAGTAATTCCTTGGGTGAAAAGGACATCTTCCCGGCTAAAGCAATTCATTTTGGTATTTATTTGTGCTCTATTGTACAATCTACGAATTCGTTTAGTTCAGTATCAAAGTCATTTTATAGTATTAAATGGATGCATGACTTGTTAGGTATGGAATCACCCACTGATTCTATGCTCGTGAAAAATATACTAGAAGGTGCTAAGAGAAGACTGTCTAAGAGTGTTGTTAAGAAAGAACCTGTGACACCTGAATTGTTGCTTAAAATGTTTAATAGTCTATATCGTGGGAATAACGTGAAAAATCAAAGGATTATTTGTGCGTGCTTGTTAGCATATGCAGGATTTTTAAGAAGTGAAGAATTATTGAAGATAAAACGTTCACATATTGTTTGTTCATTCAACATACATTAATATTTTCATTGAAACAAGCAAGACTGATGTATATAGAGATGGAGCGTGGGTAACTGTTTCACGTACTGGTACAACATTATGTCCAGTGGTTAATTTAGAACGTTATCTGACATGGGCACAAATTGATTCTGAATCTGAGGGCTACATATTTTGTGGTATTTCCAAATGCAAAAACGGTTATAAATTGAGAGACATGAATAAATCAATATCATATACAACCCTGAGAGAACTTTTTATCGAAGCATTCAAAGATCATGTTTCAGACATTTCTAAATATGGTTTGCACTCTTTGAGGTCAGGCGGTGCTACTGCAGCTGCCAATAACGGTATAAGAGATAGACTTTTTAAGAGACACGGTAGATGGCGTAGCGAGAACGCCAAAGATGGATATATTAAAGACTGTTTGGCTGAAAGATTAAGTGTATCACAGAATTTAGGTTTATAATTAGAAACTGTTTTCATGAAAATTATAAAAGCATAAGTTCCCCGTTCTTTTAGTTCATCTTTACCCAAGTGCTCTATACAATATATACTATATATTCAGAATTTTGGTTTTGTTGTTGTTCTATTTAGTTGATACAAATAGATCAGTAAAGGTCAAAGGAAATATATTTTCCGCCGGTTAAGTGAAGCGAATTAGGCGGTAAATAATTTCCTTTGCATTGGATAGATCTTTTGAATGTACCAATCAGAAGTTGTTTTGTTTAATTACGTATGCACGAGTTACTGTGCATTATGAATTGTAATTGAAAGTCATTCAGCTTTGGGTATCGATACTTTACAGTCGCAGTAATTTTTAACATGGATTTAACTTGTTGATTAACAAAAGTTCGGGGAAAATATGTTTACTAGTAACAATACGAATGCTTACATGTTTACGGTTTTATATATATTGATATTAGTTGTTTGAATTGATACTGTATCATTTATGAAAGTGATGGATGCATTTATTAATAGATTTACTAGTATACTGGTATATGTTTATATATATGTTTGTTGAATTGTAATGGATTGTATCATCTTTACCCAAGTGCTCTATACAATATATACTATATATTCAGAATTTTGGTTTTGTTGTTGTTCTATTTAGTTGATACAAATAGATTAGTAAAGGTCAAAGGAATGATAGACTTCAGGTGCCCTTCTATGCATGAATACCTGGCACATGAGTAAAACCACAGACCTGGATAGCTTCCACACATGAAAGAATAAAAGTCCTTGACATATTCAATCCACAGTAAACTGTTGTCAGGGGCATGTGGTTCAATATAAGCAACTATAACCACTCGTCTCCATACTAGATCATGTACAAAAGGAAAAAATATTGCAGCACATCAATCTTTGATCAACATCAGTATAAATGTGCAATCAGTTTTTCTTAGACAAAATGTAGTCTGATTAGAATAATACAGAACAGAACAAATTCTGCAAAAGCCTCTTTGCAAACAAGAAAATGTCTGAAAATCATGAAGGGCAATGGTGACCCTTTTATCGCTCACCTAGATGGTTGATTGCTTTGTTTATAAGCTTATTTCAAAATATTTCTGGGCATATAATTATCAGTGGTTGATTAACCTTACTTTTTCCCTGGTTAACTAACCCAATAATTACCACTTTCTCTGCAAGTTGGACTAACTACATGTACTAATATAAGTTAAAGTAAAAACCATTCATTTTTGATTTTAGGGACTTTACATTGACAAAGAAATAAGCTATATTTATGTGAATATTTAATGAAGACTCTGTTACATAGGGAAAGAATTCATGTTTTGCCTTTTCAACCATCATAGACAACAAGAAAAGGTAAAGTTTAGGTAAATCCTTTAACCTGCTCATTTTGAAATGGATTTGACCTGTTTTGAATTTGGAACACTCACGTCCATATAAAATTTACGGGATTTCAATATCAAAATACAAAAATTGAGCTCCCAACAGTATAGAGCCTGGTCAGACTGCACTGCTAAAAACTTTGGTTCACACACTCTTTTCCATCAGTGGACCAGTCAGAAAGATGTCATTTGATAAAAGGGCAACATTGAACGAACAGTCGCAATCCTAATAGCTCATTCTAGAACTTTGTGCCAGATGAGCTTAAAACTGTGAATGAAAAAAGCAACAGTAAACCAATCAAGCAATTCCAAGACAAGTGGAAACAGAATGAAAATCAGACAATATCATGTTGTCTTCAGTATTGCAAAAAAAAAAATGTTCACTTTCAAAAAAAACTATTTTTTCTCTTTTTTTCTTTATTTTTTTTTCTTTTTTTCTTTCTTTTTTTTTACATTAACTATTTTGTAGATAATATTATAAATGTTTTTAATAAATTAATATAGATATAAAGATGTATATAAATCACATACAGTCAGTAACATTTCCACAATCTATTTATTGATACCAGACATCAAGATCAATATTCAAGTAGAGTGATCCGCAGTTTTGGGTTTAAACAATATCATATCAAAAAATAAAAAATAAAAACTTATTTTCTCGAAAAAAGAATTTCATAAAAGCATGTCAGATTCAATTTAACAATTGTTATAAAATTAAAATTTTTCACAGTGTACAAAAATTGTCTGATTTTCATGATTTTCACAAAAACTCCTGTGAAGTTTTTTTTTTACATTTTTTGAAATGTTGCTATTTTCCTTTGATGTGACGGATACATTGTTCACAACATTGCTGGTTTCCTTTGGAATTATAGGCAGAGTCATTTCTCTAACTGGTTCATTATCTCCCTTTGTCAAAAACTGTTCATACAAATATAACAAATTAAAAGCGACATCATTTCTATCATTTTATGCTATTTACCAGCAACACAATTTATATTTTAATTAGCTTAACTTCTTTATGTGTAGTTCTTAACGAGTGACACTGTCCTTAGTTCTTTATGAGTGACAAAGTCTACAATTGAATTAGCTTTAGGTCTTTATAAGTCACACAGTCCATGTTTTATTATTTGTGTGGGTTCTAAAGGAGATATGTAAAAGTCAGACAAAAATACTAAAAAGTGTAAGAAATGACATGCTTAACTGAGAGTTTCTAAGTATTGAGAAATAAATGGACCCTTTTTTGAATTGTAGAAATATTTCATATCATGACACAGTTTATTAAAAGGTGAAATTAAAAAACCTTTAGTATGAACCGGTAAAAAAATTTGTAGGCAAGAAATTTTTTTTTGACAGATAAAGGATATCAGGTCATTTATGAAAGCTTAAAATTACCTAAGGCTATAAGCACAATGTGCTCATCTTGCTCGGGTAAGCTAAAAAATTGGAAAACTGGAAGTATTGAAAGTATCTTTGGCAACATTGATCTTCAAGCGTTCCATATACTTATATATGTATATATGATTTTCTGTCACCAATATTTGAGGAAAGTTTTAAAGTGTTTTAAACACTCAAAAGATCTATAATTGATTGCCCTTTGCTATCATTACCTAGTGTATGTAAACAAACTTCTGTTTTAATATTTACTGTAGATTATAACATGTTTGTAATGAAGCATGTATTTTAAAAAATTATTTATCTTTCAATTTTTTTTTTCTTCAAAATACTTTATGTTCAAATAGATTAAATATTGAGAGAGAAATACATTTAGTTTAGTTTATACAAATTTATTTTAGTTTGATTGTGTTTGAAGCTATAAGCTTATTGAAACACACTCGAATCTGTTCCTAGAACCAACCAGTACTAAGCAATGAATGTAAAGTTTCTTGCCCCTTGACAAGGTTTGAACCCACGCGGTCAGCAATCCTTAGATTACTAGTCTGACGTGTTAACCACTCTGCCATGCCGCCATGTCAAAATGTATTTTTAAGTGTTCTCAACATTTGCTTTAGGTAAAAAATATTAAAAGCACTGTCTCTATATATCTAAATAACCTTTTTTTATCATATCAATTTAACAAAAATACATGTTATCTGTGATCATTTGTTATCATTTTCACCAAACTGAGTGTAAACCAATTTTTAACACTGAAGTAACATAAAGGTTTTATTAAATTTACTATTTTTATGAACACTTACGATCACAAAATTAAAGATAACACAAAAAAGATATAGTTTACAGTATTAAAAACTTTGATGTCAGCTTAGTTATAAATGAAATTTTTTCAAGTTGTTTTACATATATACATGTATTTGTTCTTCATATTCTTTAAAATAAGCTCGTAATAAAAATGTAAAATAACTGACAGTAGTATATCGCATACAACTTATATTCACTATTATAAAAAATACCTTAATTTACTACTTCTAATTTTAAACAAAGTAAATACTGAACTTAAAGATTTTTTTTTTGCACCATTAAAGAACTCAATACAGCATTGTATAATTCCCAGACTGAAATAAAACAAACATGCAGTCAAAAAGTCTTTTGGTCTTGTTTGTTTTATACAGGTCTGCCTAATGGGTGTCATATATTATTTAAAATTCAAATACGTTCTTCGTCAGCAAGTCATTACTCCTATATAAAAGTCAACAAATACCCTCTTTCCTTTCTATTTAAAACAACAGTCAAGTTTTCAACCACTCAGTAATGCTCATCAAAGTAATGTCTGTCTGATTAAAGTAAAGTTAAATATTTAATCTTTAATACACATTTCACTTGTTTATTTATCTTCTTTTTTTTTTCAAAAATCTTTCAAAAGATCCGTTTGTCTGTCTTTCAAAATTAATGGTCTTCAAGTTTATTGCCTGAGTTTAGTGCTTTCAAATGACTACCGGTTATTCATGAACAACAAACTACCTCAAAATATCTAAAAAGAAAAACTACCGTTTTGAATTTTATGGATACAAGAGAATTTACGACCCTTATTTATATTAAGACAGTAAAGAGTAAGATTTAACTGTTGTGAAATATTAAATGTGACCACACTATATAACAATAGTTTGCACAAGGTAAGTTTGATTTACTAACCCCAATATGATTTCTAAATAAAAGTTAGAGACAAATGAGCCACGTCACGACAAAACCAACATAATTGGTTTGTGACCAGCATGGATCCAGACCAGCCAGTCTGATCAGGATCCATGCTGTTCGCTTACAAACCCTATAACAAGTAGAGAAACAGATAGCGAACAGCATGGATCCTGATCAGACTGCGCGGATGTGCAGGCTGGTCTGAATCCATGCTGGTCGCAAACCCATTATGTTGGTTTTGTCGTGTCGCGGCTCAAATGCCTATACTCGCCCAAGGATCAAACCAGTGACCCCTGGATTTATTACCTATACTATGCTCTTCCTATTAAGCTGAGAGAGCAGACTAGGATGACATTACAGAATATCATAAGGATTATTATTATCAATACTCTATCTCAATTCTATAATGTTCTTTAAATTGTGCAGTTTTGCTTACCTGGTCAGAGTCCGATTTCATAAGTCGGTTTTGTTCTTCTCTGTCCTGTTCGTTCCGTCTATTCTCCTCCTCCTCTCTCCGCCTCCTTTCTTCTTCCTCCCTCTTCAGTCTATCTTGTTCCTCCTTCCTCTGTCGCTCCCAGTCTGAATTATCATTGTCATTGCGAGACTGACCAAGTCTATCTGACTCGTACGCATCTGGTGACGGAGCTTTCAATCTGTCACTCTCGTCTCCGGCATTTTTCCGCCTAACGCAAGAAACAAAAACATTTTCAAATTTAAATATAAATATTATTCCCTCACATTTAAATCGTCACTTAAGTCTCTTTTTTTTCAGTGCTATTTCACCAACCTTCTAGCTAGCCTTCATTCCACTCCTTATGGTATACATGTAATTTTATTTGAAGGACTGATCAACGTTGACCATCACTTACACCTCAAAGAGTACTGTCACTGTTGGTTAACAAGAACAAAACTGATAGATCCCAGTATTTTTCCTTATATTAAAATCTTTCTTTTACACATATTAACATCACCCAAACATCACTGCCCCCATCTTGCTATATATAATATTATTCATTTACAAAGGTGTCAATATGCACCACTTCTCATTAAAATTGGGAAGTTAAGTTACTTGAAGTTTCGAAACGTGTATTAAATTATATTACTGATATTTAGTCAGAAACTATACATGTATAAAATTATACATTATTTTTTATTTGTAGGGATAAACTTACCAGCTCAAAATAAAATAATAATTAAAACAAAATTAAAAACTTAAATTTCTATTTTAATTATGTCATGGATTGTAAAACAACATCACTTCATCAACATTATACTATTATGCTTCTTCATTTATCTAAACTAAAAGACATTCAGAATTTCTCATAAATAATGTTTATGATTTACCATAAAAGCAATGCCATTTAAAACAAACAAAACACTTTTCATACCTATAAATACATGTATTCCAAACTGATGCTTTAAAAAACAAAATCAAGGCCTTACTATGATGAAGGATAAGACTTAGTTACTATGAACATCTATTTTTAGTTTCAGTGGCCTTGACCCAATAAATCTAAAACTCCATTGGAAGAGTGCGGTGCAAGGCATGGACACAAAATTATATCTTAAAGTATCAGTCAATAAATGGAATGAGAAAAGACAGGTAAGTCAGTGATTTAAGGACAGAAGCAAATAAGATACTGCAATGGCTACCCTATCCTTCTACCTGTTCTTCTTTTAGCCATGTCAAAGATTTTTTTTGCCACATAAAAAAACAACAAGAAATCAATTAAGGTATTAGGACCCTAATGGGCACTATAAGGAACTAAAAAATTGACATCATAGGTCAGATGTATACCTTAAAGTACACCTGTATGCAAAATTTAAACAAAGTTTACCGTACGGAAATCAAGTTATGGCCACTTTTCTGAACTCAAGCTAGGATGTTATGAGGGCCCTTTTTTAGAAATGAGGACCCTTTAAATAATCTGCAATAACTTTCTTATGAAAAATGTTTTCCCATTTATTTTTGTTAAGAAACAAATAGTACCATTCAGCTAACAATCCACATAAGCAAAATTATGGTTTCTACTTAAAATTTATGAAATCTGTATAAATATGTTACCTACCCCACCCATTTTTACCACGTGTCTGACCATTTTTCTACTTAGGAAGCCTCATTTAAAAAATTCTTAAAATTTACCCAAATGAGTGCCTATTTCTAAAGTTTCCCTAAATTTTTAAAAAAAGTATATTGGTTGATCTTGTGAAATATGAAATACTTTTACCGTCTGGTTTTGATTACATGTATATTACACTTTGAAAATATCAGGTACCATATTTATTACTAGATTTAATATAATTTAGCCAATAAATACCTATATAGATTAAAAAATCAAAATTAAACACTTTTTTCTTTCCAAATGGGACATGAGTAAGATACATAAATAATGTTAAAAGAAAAAAAAGAAAGAAAAAAAAGTTGACCCTTCTGGGGATTGAACCCATGGCCCTCATTTTCAATGTAGTAAACAGTAGTTCTAGCCTATTTGAATACTCTTCAATGCGGAGGTAATGCATTAGGGAGCTAATACCTTAATAGCATCAAAGAGGATTTACTTTTTCGTCTGGTTCAAACCATAAAAGTATCCATTAGTTAGCACAAACGAACAAACCTAGAAATATATATGAGCCGTGTCATGACAAAACCAACATAATGCGTTTGCGACCAGCATGGATCCAGACCAGCCTGTGCATCCGCACAGTCTGATCAGGATCCATGCTGTTCGCTTACAAACTCTATAACAAGTAGAGAAATCGATAGCGAACAGCATGGATCCTGATCAGACTGCGCGGATGCGCAGGCTGATCTGGATCCATGCTGGTCGCAAACCCATTATGTTGGTTTTGTCATGACACGGCTAATATACTCCGATGATAAATTGAGGTGTGCATAAAAATATTTGCACAGTCAAACAAAGTATACTTTTGTTAAAGGTTTCACTGTATTTGAAGACAGGCACATAATTCAAATTCAGAAGGAGAAAACAAAAATACAATGAAATGTTTAAAAAAAATTATCAATCCAGACAGAAAATTTGCATAATTGTCAAACTTTACATAATTATTAAAATGATAAGTGTGAAATTAAACATTGTATGAAAATAAATACAGATATTTTATACTTGATAAAAATCACTTTGGTAACGCTAATACTTCCCTTCAGAATGAAAAAAAAACAAAACTTTTTTTTATAAAAGAATGAAAATCGCTCAGTTTGTGGACCAAAATACGAACGTAAAACTGGATTATTTTTTATTTTGTATGTATCAAATTGCACAGACAAATTGCAACTTAATTATTTAGGATCAGACTTTTAAGTTATAAAATTTCAATCAAGGAAATCAAATTCTCACATCTATAAATAGCACAGACAATAAAAGAAATCAGCAAAGTTAAATTGCTTTTTGATGGATTTTTAAAATCTCACCAATTTGCAATTTGCTATTGAGATGGCGTGTAATAAAAGTTTTAAAGAAAATGAAGGCTTAGGGATAAGGAAAAGGTAATTGAAAAGTTTTCGTAAGTATTTGCTATTGAAAGTAAAGAACAGATGGATGAGAAAATAGAATGACGATTTTACTTTAAGAAGGTAAAAAGTTACATTTTTTAACATAGAGGATTTATCATGTTGTTTTTTGAAAGTTTTGATAATTTAAATTGAGAAATACACTTAAAAAGTCTCTTATCTCAACCATAGTTTGTGTAATATACTAATAAGTCCTTGAACTAAGCCTGAGTTAAAATAACATACTAATAAAATCTTGAACTTAGCCAGAGTATAGGTAATTAAAACTAACAAGTCCCTGAACTCACTCAGTGCTTATGATTTATACTTGTTAGTCCCTGTACTTACTTAGAGTTTATGTAATACATTAACGAGTCCCTGAACTCAACTAAAGTTTATGCAATACACAGTCCCTGAACTCAGCTAGAGTTAATGTAATTATACTAACACATTCAAGTCCCTGAAATTTATTACTTAGAGTTCATGTAATATACTAACAAGTCTCTTAACTCACTCAGAGTTTATGATATACACTTATTTGTCCCTGAACTTACTTAGTGTTTATGTAATAATTACTAACAAGTCCCTGAACTCACTCAGACTTATGATAGACACATATACTTATTTGTCCCTGAACTGATTTAGAGTTTATGTAATATACTAACAAGTCCCTGAACTCAACATAGTTTATGTAATATACTTACATATTCAAGTCCCTGAATTTACTTAGAGTTTAGGTAATATACTTAAAACAAGTCCCTGAACACTACTAGAGTTTATGTAAGCCTTTGAACAACTAGACCACTTTCTGTACCTTGCACCAACTCAGTAAGACAGCAAGTTGGTTTAAATTTTTCTCTCATAATCAGCAATTGGGTTCTCCTTGTATTTTTTTAAAACTGAATTTATAAAGACAAGAGCTCCAGAACCTACTGCACATTATGATTCAATGTCAATAATCCCCCCCCAACTCACCCCAATCCTAACCCCAGAAAAAGGAAACACAGGTTTAACTAATATATGATACAGATATTTATGTGCATTCTAATTCTATGAAATGTGTATTATAGAATAAAAAGTTGTTAAATTTCAGGATTATAAAAAGTTTAGATAAAAACTTAAAAATTACTATCATAGAATAATAATTATATTTCTAAAACATAAAATTCCTGGAAAGGAAAATCTGCAGTTACACATGAGCAAAATAAAAATATTTCTTTTCATGGAATGCACATGTTTTCTAACATTTATCTTTTAAAATCACATTACATATATATTCAAATTGAAAGAACAATACTAAATTGTAAATGAATAAGTAATAAGTTACCATGGATGGCTGTTTGGCACTTTGGAATTGATCTTTATAAATATCTAAAGTATTTTTAACAATAAAAAAAACTTTGTTTTTATGTGTTAATCATTAATAAATTTACAGCGCATGCATGTGAATAAATTGTACAGCCACAAAAGAAATAGAATATTTTGAACGAGAGTTACGAAGTTCAATACTGAATTTATTGAACAAGTAAAATAAAATTATATTATGCAAGCCTCTGGCATTAGCAGAATATTACATATTTTAACAAGTTCAATAAATATAGTAATGAACCTTCACATAAATAATATTCTTTTTATCACATACAAGTACACAAAATAAGAACTTTTACATTAATGAAGAAACATTTTTTTACGTTGACGTGCCTAAAGAGTAATGCTAACATTAGGGCGCTGTTACACTTTTGTTACACTTTGTTAGTATTATCGCAATGACATCACATTGCAAAGTTATTACACTAGTATATCATTGTTTTTTATTTTATAGCTTTATTACACTCCTGCCCATTTATGTGATAACCAGGAATATATATCGTGTAAAAACATGCAGCCATGCAACCCCCCACATGCAAACGTTCAAAAGCATTCAAGATTTTTGTCACATTCAAAACATGTTGGTCACAACAAAAAAATTTCTCAACAAAAACATGTGCATCCCATGCAAGAGATAGAAGATTTTTTTATAAAAGAGCATTTGAAAAGTTGTCTTATACTGATGAAGAAAAAATCCAAACAATACAAAAAAATAGAGTTCCGAAGCTGTACCGGTAACTTTTTCAAACAGTCCTTATTAAGCATTACTCTGTTAAATTGTATAAATGGAATTTTCTGTTATTCAACCTTGATAAAACCATTCATGGTTTGTAGGGAAATTTTCAAAATGTATACTGATTGAATAACAGACAATGCAGACCATGATGAGATGGTTCAAATGTGCCAGCTGATTTTTTTTTGCACTGGTCTCGCTTGATCCTTAGAGCAGTCAATAGCTTCAACTTTACATGATTCTGATAACAACAATTTTCAAGACATATTCCCAACCTAACTATTTAAAATGAAGATAACTACCAGGTATTGTTGACAGCTGGAAAAAAAAACATTTATTTCAAATGCTCTTTATCTATTGAAAGTATTATAATGGATTCAAACAAGAGTAGCAAAAAGTTTTAAATTGCTCACCTGAGTAGCTATTTCATTTATGACTTAACAACACTTTTCAGAATTTTTTTAAAAGTTTTAAAATTGAAGAATTATTCGGTCATGATTTTTCTTCCTACCATTTCAGGCATCATATCACTTTTGATTGAAAAATATCACAATATTTTCATACCAATACATGCTTGTTAAATAAAAGTGGTCGAATATTATTGCCTGCTAATGTTCACTTTAGAAAAAAGAAAGCTTGGATAAAACAACATGACTTTGCTCTTCCATGTATTGTGACCTAGTTAAAAATCAATATAGTTCAGTTCGAAACCAACCCTGTACTATATTCTTGTTATTCTTTCGTAATTCCGAAATAAGATCTTTTCTTGACCCTCATTTTTAACCCAGCCCGAGCTTGGCTCAGGTGAGCACGATCAAGATAGGTAATAAAAAATTCTACTCACCGATCTAGCGGTTCATTTTCCCTGTATGTATCTGGTGTAAACCCTGCAATACCGGAGTCTTCATCATGTTTATTCTGGTTACTACCAAGGTTACCATGACGATTTTTACTGTTCTTATCATTCTCAGAATCAGTGTGAGGGGGTGTGGCACTAAGTGGCTGGAGGTAAGCCTCCTGGGAACCAGGCTGCTGTTGCCGCCGAGGTGAGCTAGCCAGACGGTGCTGAGGGGGATCTAAATAGGGGTCAGAATCAGAATGAGGGTGACTATTTCTGAAATTGTTCCGTGACTGACCTACATTTGTGTTAGACTGATTAACTAAATGTTCACTATTTTGACTGTTAGACTGGTCGTCAGGAAAGGAACTGTTGTGTTTGTCACTAGAGTCCCAGTCCACAGAGAGGTATTGATTGTTTTGATGCACAGTTTGACCAGTCGGTTCTCGAGTAGAAGATTCACGAGGTGTGGCGGAAGTCTTGTACACTAAAGGTGCTGATTGTTTTTCAGGGGACGTAATATTGCGCGGAGTGATATTTGGTAATGTTGTGTAATGAGAATTCAGGTCAGTACCATTTGACAAGTTGCTATGTTTGGCATTCGGAAGGCGATCGTCACCTGTGTAAAGAATGAGGATACCAATTGCTGATAAATTTGGTTCAACCAATCAGAATTAAGTACAATTTTTTAATAAGCCAATCAGGTGGTTAGAATAGTATTTTGGTGATTTCCTGTGTTGATTAAATTGTGAAGGCTAAAATTTGTGATTTTTGTTACTTTGCATATTTCATTATTAAATATACATGTATCTGTTTGCAAATTATGTGACTTTTTTCTCTGAGATTGTGAGGTCAAATAAACTAGGTGACGTGAATATTTAGCTAACAATAACATACATGTTAGAATTATTTAATCTAAGGTGTATTATTCTATACATAATGATAGGGTTAAAATTTGCTAAATATAAATCTTCTGAAATACATTACTATGTAATAATCAAACAGTGAAGAATCAGAATTGCTGTGAATAAAAACTGGTTAAAGCATGGCATGCAGGGAAAATTGTGAAAGCTCTTTTAAACTCTGTCTTTATATTAATCTGTCTTAGCACTGCATATAAAAAAAATTAAAAAATTCTATGTTCAAAGTGGTGACTATTTCTGCCCTGAATTTTCTAAACCTTTCCATGTCTAACACCTCTAAACCAATCAACAAATATACCTGTCATGCTTCCAATAAAAGATATTTATTCAGTCCCAATTAAATTGCTTAAACAAACTTATTTCCTTCTGAATAATTGATGTTCGGTGCTAAATATCTGATATGTTTCTTTTGTGCTTGTTTTTTTTTCTTCAGTACCATTCGTCCAATTTAAATTCTATTTTTAGCTAGTTTTGTTGCTAGTAACATACTTTGAGAGAGAGTTTTTAAGTTTGGTTTAATTAATTTTTACAACTGGTAGGTCGATCAGTCAATATAAATACTTAAGTGTGTACAGTTTAAATAAAACTGGTTCAATAACATTTCAATTTCTAGAAACCATTTTTACAGTCCATGTTTATCCAATAATTTTTAATAAATCAACAATTAGCCTAGAAAAGTATTAATTCAAAAAGTCCATATGATGATTCTCAACAAAATAAGCATATGATTGAAGTTAATTTAAATGTGTCATCAGCTAGATTTTATATTTATTTTAATATTATTATAATTTACAAATTAGTTAAAAGGGGGATAACTCTGGACATATTTACATAGAGTAATTCAGGTAAAACACAACGATAACTTACAGTACACTTATAGTATATATTTTAAAAGTTCATTTTTATATGAAACCGATATGTTTCAAGTTTAAAGGAGGGGAAAAAAAACAAGCATGATTTCATAATTCTTTAAGTTTTAGTTTTTAAAAAAAAATGTACTAGTTTTAAACAGATTTCTACATTAGTCTTTTAAACGATGCATAGCAGTATATGAAATATTTATGAAATCAATTAATTTTACACAAATTTTAGTTAGTCAGTTTTGTTTTTTTTCAATGTAGTCTCTATTTTTTTTTTCATTTATTTTCAACAAACAGTATACCTATAATTTACACAGTGCCGACTCGACTGCCTTGCAACATACATGTCAAATTGTACTAGTCATAACAGTTTAATCACAAGTTTCTTATGCATTTTATCATCCATTAAACCATTTCCAAATAATATTATAAAATTTATTTACTATTAAACAGTAAAAGATATTTTACATTAACAATTTAATTTAATGCTTCTCAGCGAAATTAGGTACATCAAAAATGTACATGACATTGTATAAATTATATTTTATGAGTTTCCTGGAAATTTTATTCCATCATAAGAAGCACTTGTTCTTGTATATGATTTTACAGCCCATGAAAACTAAATGCAACAAGCCTGAAGCTATTCTATAGTCATCTTTAAAAGAAAAATTGCTTATCTTTCATTCAGCAAGTCCATTGTAAGGATGGCATGTCTAAAGTGCACATCTTTTAACCCTGATCCTGCTGAATATGTATAAAAGATTCACCCTCCTTTGCATTTGGAACAGTCCATTTCAAGATACAGGGATTTCAATAGCAAAATACAAAAATTGAGCAGAGCCTGGTCAGACTGCAACAATATACAGGCCGGCCTGGTTCTATACTGGTGACAAATGTGAATCAATTTCAGGGGTAAGGTTTAAAAACATATCAAGGGTTGACCACAAAACTGCAGTAATTTATAAGAAATAAAGAAGGATTTACAACAGTTTTGTGGTCAACCCTCGATATGCAGATTGCTAAGCTTTTAACAATTCTTCTCTAGACAAATATCAAATCAATATGCATTGATTTGAATTTTAACATTCAGGAAATCAAAGTCTGTGTTTTGTAATGTATACATGCCATGCATCATTGCTTTAACTACTTTCTACAGAATTATAATAGAACATCAAGCTACTCTCTCTTGTAGAATCTTGTGATCAAACATGTTAGTCTAAAAAGGAAACATCATTACGTGCATAAATTTTGTGCACTTTTAGAGAAACAAAATCATATCACTTGAGTTCATTATTACAATGAAGCAATAAACCTTTCAGGTCTAGAACCTGTTGACAGTTAAATTAGTAGTCACTCGAATCATAATGCGTCAAGTGCTGGGACCTTGTTGGCAGAGATAATTTAGGGTTTTAAGCCCATCGCTCCATGGTCACTGTAGACCAAACTTTTGACACAACAAGATGGTGGATTCATATATTGGGCTACTCAAGTCATTAAAACTGTAACTGTCCAGTCTTACGAATATTAAAATAGATTTTAAAATATTTCTAACAGTCAAAAAATAGTGAAGTGAAATTTTTTGTTCAACCAGTCCATATTTTAGCACTGAATGATTTTTGCCATCTAAAATGGACCAATCATAATACTGCCTTTTGTTCACAAGTTCACTAAGAAAAGGAAGTTGCTTATTTACTAATCATCATTCATTTACACCAATCTATAACCTACTTTCATTTTATTATATTTTGGCACATTAAGACCAAAAATGTTTTTTTTTCTTTTTTCTTTTTTTTTTCTTTTTTTTTTTTTTTTTTTTTTTTTTTTCAACTATCTTTTGCTTTTTGGCCTTAAGTGAGGAAGTGATTATGTATTTTTTTATATTGAAGACATGGAATCCCTTTAAGACAAAATACCACTATTACTATTCATTTTGAGAACAAAATTATTTCAAACACTGTGTTCTTCAAAAGATAAGCAAATTCAAACAGGGGTTCACTTTTTCATCTGTAGAAAAAATGTTTTCATTTTTGAGACTTAATGTGCCTATAAATAAACAAATACTAAAAATATCAATATTAATTAAAATAAAATAATGTTGTAATTTAAACTTTTAGCCATTCTATACAAAATCAGCCACCTTTTGACAATATAAAAATAATATGAAACTGAAAATTAAACCATGCCAGTTTTGTTCTCACCATAATAATATTCTGAATCAATTCAGCCTGCAAATCAATAAAATAAATGAATAGACTGGAAAAAAATTGGACTAGATATATGAGAGAAAAAAATCAAAGCTTGCCTAAGCTGAACACTACATGTATAAATGAATCATTGGCATCCATTAGCAGGAAATATTGGAATGCTTGATTGAATAATCAGAAAATTAATCAACATTTAATGCATTTTTGTTTATCTGGATTTACTCAGTACTAGCTTGTAATTTAATTATAACTTCACGTTTAACCCTTACTCCACTAAATATTATAAATGGACTTTGTCTGTCTTTATACCTGGACAAAACCATTTACCATTTTTAGTGAAAATCTTAAAATATGTACTGACTGAATAGCAAATAGTGCTGAGTATTGCATTTTTTTTTTACCTGCATTAAATTTCACTCAGTACTAGCTGGTAATTTAATTATATAACTTCACGTTTAACCCTTACTCCACTAAATATCATAAATGGACTTTGTCCATCTTTATACATGGACAAGACCATTTATCATTTTTGGTGAAAATCTTAAAATATGTACTGACTGAATAGCAAACAGTGCTGACCTTAATTACACTGCACAGATTTGCCCTTTGGTCTGCACTGGTCACATGGGGTTATTTTTAGAATCTATTGCAGTCAGCAAGATAAGGGTTTAATATTTTAGATATGCAATGAGATAGAATACCAAAAAAATTTTAGTCATTTAATTAATATAGTTTCAATTAGCGTACAGTTATTAGCCAATCAAATCATATTGTGCTAATGACTTAAAAATCTGTTGTGTTTTATTATTGCTTGACTGTATAATTATCTAACTGAATAAATATGTAATACTCAAAGAGTAACTTGATGTTGGTTTCGCCTCATGTCAAACAGGTGTGAGGGCAGCCCTAAAGGCTTTGTGAGGCATGCTTGTCTGGTTTAGTACATAAGCACTATAGCCAATCATGCAGCTTGGCTAAGTTTAATGAAAACAGCTCTAGAGTTTGATTCTGTGATAAGTAATGTTACAAAAATAGCATTTTATATATTTTGTGAGATAAGTGTGATTAGGGGCTAGGGTGAGAGGTAAGGAAAGGGTAATATGTGCAGCTAGCCTCAATCAGCTCAAGCAATATATCATATCATATACATACATTATATCTCACATATATTCTTTTATATTTATATAATAATATACCGTACAACCTGTAATAAAAATCTCATCTCAAACAAAACCATTAATTATTTTTCGGGAACATTTCAAAATATGTATTGACTCACAGAATGGCAAAAAGTGCACATATCGTAATCAGATGGCACAGAACACAAAGTCATTATTATTCAGAAATAGATATTTTGATGAGGGTTATTTATTACAGGCTTTATGGTAACACATCATATTGCTACATGTTGATATAACGATACAGTTTTGATATATTATAATTATATTATCAAACAATTTATATACCAAAGAACAAAAAAACATTTAAATCAGTGTACATTAAAAAATAATAAAAAATCTCATGAAAAATAACAAAATCATCAAATTGAAAAATAAAGAAATACCTTGAATTACAAACATACCTTCCTTATAAAAGTGTTTTCTTTTATTCTTTTTTTTTAAGTATCAAAAAGTATAAGAAATAATACTAGTATTAAATAAAATAAAAACAAAACTTCATTGCATCAAAACACAGCAAAGAAAGCAAAATGTGCAAACTACAAAATGTATTTTTTTTTGCAAATTTATATATAAATACAATAGTCATTTTGAAGAAACAATTAAATTATATTATATCAGCAGCAATGTTCACTTAATGAGACTTCAAAAAGGCAATGTTAAAAAGAGAATGTCGCGGAAAAGTTAAGATTTCCAGTCTCTCAACTTGAGTTGCAGGAACAGATCTTTACCTATTTGAAAATCTTTAAGTTTCACATAGATCTTAAATTTCACATAGAAATGTCACATGCAAGAGCTAAACTGTGATTTGAGAAAAAAAAAAACTTTAATAAAAGTGACTCAGGTAGAAAACAGACAAAGAAAATTACTTATTCATTTAAATTTAAAGAATTTAAAAGGCTTGTTTATTCTGTTTTTATTAAGTTTAAAGTTAAAATTTCATGTATAAGAATCATTTTGATTAAAATTTATAATTGTTAAACTCTTTTTAACACCACCTTTTTTACCAAATGATCTTAATTGATCGAATTATTGAAAGTTTTCTTAAATATATTAAATTGTCCTCTCTTGTAACAGGCAGATTATGCAGCAGAAGGTTAGTAAATAAATAATTTTCTATTAACCCTAAACACCCTAAATATCTTAAATGGACTTGTTTAGCTTTCAATCTAGATTAAACCATTCACCATTTTTAGGGATAATTTCAAAATAAGTACTAATGGAATAGTGAAAAGTACAGACCATGATCAGATGGCATTTTTACCCATTCTGATCTTGGTCTCCACTGGTCACATGGGTAAATTGACAGTTGCCACAAGTATGGTAAAAGTTATGGACTTAGCAAATAAAGATATTTTCAAAATCAAACTAGAGCATACAGATTATTTTTCATTTTCAAAGTTTAAAGATAATTCTCTCAATCTGCAAGTTTTTAAAGGGCGGTTTCTCTTTAAGTAGTATTATTCAAACAGATTTTGGTGATCAAACAGTTGCAGGAATACCTTTAAACGCTATCTGAAGGAGGTTTACCAATCAATGGTAAACTGGCAGTTGATATCTCCAAGCATTATTTACAAGTATATACAAAACTTGTTCCTTTAAGTACATAGAGGATAATATGGTATGAATACTTGGTAAATATACATATCAAATGTAAACAACTTCAAGTATGTATGGCCCGCTTCTAGAACAATGTTCTATGTATATTTATTATTATACTTATTTGTATTGACTTGTATCATAAGAAGATAGTGAAACTCAGTAAAGAAATAGAAACTTACATTGAAAAAATTGGAATGCTGACCTTATTTCTAAACTTTTGTATATTTTGAGCAAATTTTTTAATCCTTCAAAAGTTATTCAATCAAAGAAATACATTTTAATTTAACTAACAACTTCTTTGATACTTAAGGATACTAGCAAGTTTGCTGTAAATGTAAGGTTAGGACTTTCACGCAGGAATCAGTCTCATATTTCAAGCAGCAGACTGGTATAAGGTTAGGACTTTCAAGCAGGAACCAGTCTCATATATCAAGCAGCAGACTGGTTTATGGCTAGGACCAGTCTCACTTATATATTATACTATAGTATAAGGTTAGGACTTTCAAGCAGGAACCAGTCTCATATATCAAGCAGCAGACTGGTTTATGGCTAGGACCAGTCTCACTTATATATTATACTATGGTATAAGGTTAGGACTTTCAAGCTGGAACCAGTCTCATATATCAAGCAGCAAACTGGTTTATGGCTAGGACCAGTCTCACTTATATATTATACTATGGTATAAGGTTAGGACTTTCAAGCTGGAACCAGTCACATATATCAAGCAGCAAACTGGTTTATGGCTAGGACCAGTCTCACTTATATATTATACTATGGTATAAGGTTAGGACTTTCAAACAGGAACCAGTCTCATATATCAAGCAGCAGACTGGTTTATGGCTAGGAACAGTCTCACTTATATATTATACTATGGTATAAGGTTAGGACTTTCAAACAGGAACCAGTCTCATATATCAAGCAGCAGACTGGTTTATGGCTAGGAACAGTCTCACTTATATATTATACTATGGTATAAGGTTAGGACTTTCAAACAGGAACCAGTCTCATATATCAAGCAGCAGACTGGTTTATGGCTAGGAACAGTCTCACTTATATATTATACTATGGTATAAGGTTAGGACTTTCAAACAGGAACCAGTCTCATATATCAAGCAGCAGACTGGTAATTTAGGACATACAGGAGGAACCAGTCTCACATATCAAGAAGTTAAATGGAACAATTGCATTACATTACTGACTTTCAGCTCTTTTTTTTTTTGCACATAATGATGTTTAAAATTCATTCTGCTGCCTTCAGCCTGTTACAGATACACAATAATTCACTTTGTTGATGAAAACTAGCAAATAATTATAATACTGTATAAATAAAGAAATATGAACTATAATAGAATAGAAGTGTTGAATAAATTACTTACTACCATGAGTTTGAAAATAGTGATTATTTCGTCCTTTGTCTTAGTTTGTAAAAGATAGGCAATAAAGTGAACAAGGAAATTTCTACATAAACATTACTATTAATATAATAACACTTCTTGGATAATGTTATACATTTTAAATACCAGTATAGAGATATTAACCATTCTTTTCAACTTTTGAAATTTTATTTTGCCTTGTCATGATATTACAAATTTCATGTTCTTGGGTTTTCTTTTTTTTTTCATAAGAAAGTTTCAATTTAAGATTACATTTTTTTAAATATAAACTAAACATACTTTTAGATTAAACATATACTTGAATTTTCAAACGTCTTTAATAATTGCATAAAGTTTAAACATAAAGACACTTGTACTTGGCCTAAAGACTGAGCAATCAAAACTGAAAATAATTGACTCGGTGGTTACGTATCAATAGACTGGTTTAGTGATCTAAAGATATTTAAAAAGGCAAAAGTCTCTAAATCAGATCAAACTTTGTTCTTCATTTATATAATGAAATAAATATATCTAAATATATATAAACACACAAAAGAAGATTGCCTTGATAGCACTGTTGACTTAAAAGACAACCTGTCAGATTTCTATTCATTTACTTAGCCACAAAGAGCAAAATGTTTTAAATTGAAAAGAAAATTCAATGAAGTAAGTATACAGTTTATGTTTCACAAAGTTACACTGAAATGGCCTGCATTTATAATATTAAAATATTCTTCCCAAATGTACAATGTTAGAAAATGATCTTGGGTGGATGACAATTTAAATGTATTGTTTTTCAACTGAAATCAGACAAAAAGAAAATGATCGTTTCCAAGGTGACAAAAATCTCTACACTACCCTTACATCTCTTATTCTTAACCCTTACCATGCTAAATATCTTAAATGGACTAGTCCATCTTGCAATCTGGACAAAACCATTCATCATTTTAAGGTAAAATTTTCAAATATATATTTACTTAACAGCGAACAGTGCAGACCATGATCAAGTGGCACCGATGAGAAGATTTTAGGTTAAGAATTTTGATTTATAGCACTTATGAAGCATATACTGAATTTAGGACACATCCATTCTGACAGATTATCTTTTAAGTGAAATATCTTCTGTTTGTTATACAATTGTGTACTTACTTTGTCTGTGCATAAATTCATAGTCATATGAGGTTCTAGTTTCTGGCCGCGTCGAGTTCTCGCTACTGGCTGCTATTTGTTGTTGCACTTCTGGAGTGGCTTCTAATAAATACAGTTCTGGTGCATACGCCTGTAATGTAAAGAAAACATTGATTACGTTCCATAGAGTCCCGCCCTTTCTTTACATGGTGTAATTAAATGATTTACCTCTGAGTAGTAATTTCTGCAATGGGAACTTTTTTACAGTGAAATAGCTGATTAAAATAATAATAAACACTGGGATGAAAAAAAAACGAGTCAAACAATGTTAAAATCGTATCTATAAATACTGCAAATTGTACTTATAACATCTAAGCTAACTAACTAAATACTTTAAAATAAGTTACTTTGAAATCAAGATGATATTTGTTTGCTAAGTTGCCGGATATAACATGTTTTGGTCATGTATCTCGGCAGTCAATCCACCATAACAACTTTCCTGGATAACTAACCAGGAATTACTTATTTCTACACAAGTGACCAACTATAAATCCCACATGATTTCTGAATTGGAGGTTGGAGAAAAATGACCATTGGACTTAATCTATGAGATCTATTGTAATAGAGAAAATATGCCTTGTCTGAAGATCAAGCCAGTGACCCCTGTATTACTATTACCTAATCCAAAACCCTCCCCTATTCAGATGAAATATTTACCTACTACTTCAATGAACAAAAGAGCCGGCATTGAAAAGTATAAAAATTTATAACAGTACTGCAGCTAAACTTAGTTTTGTTGCATGACTAAAAACATTGAGTATCATATAAATTTTTCATGGATAATTTGACGTTTTATCATTGAATTACTTTTTGAATTATTTAAATTTAATAATGATATTACTACCAATATGTTTTATAATGACTGCTTTAAAAGCTGTAATATCTTAAGTTCAAGGTAAAAACACTTAAAACTCATTCTTATTTCCGGTAATCACTTTGAAGCATAAATTTGGCAATAAACCAGGTTATAACACATTTTTTGATAAAATTAAATAGTTTTTGTCTCTAAAAAGTATTCCTTAACCTGCTGAATTTCTTAAATGGACTTGCCCAGCTTCAATTTTCAGAACTGTTCATTATAAAAATAGGGGATATCAAGATCAAAATTTAAAGTTAGTCAGCCAACAGTATAGAGCTCATCAATTTCGGATCCAGCAGGATAGCTCAACATTAAACAGCTACTGATACATCATGATATATATCACATACACGTGCCGATTTTGCGACTCTGTAAAAAGGGTATTGCACTGCCATGCATATATTCTGATGTGACATCATGATTTGCGTTATATAAACATAGCATTAAGACTCGCTTAATGTTAGTGTTATACTATAGGAGCGTCAATGAAAAATGTTTCTTCATCACTTCAAACGGTCCTTATTTTTGGTATGTGAAAAACAGAATATTAAATTTGTGTAAGTTCATTACTAAATTTATTGACTTGTTGAATAAAATAATATATTGCTCGCCAGAGGCTCGCATAATGTAATTTTATTCAACTCAGTATTAAACTTGCACTCATTCAATATCCTCTATATACTGCATGGCTCATTGGCCTGATAACAATTTTAATGACCTCAGATCGACCAATCAACAGTACAGTAAACTCCACTTATGACTGATTCAGGGGACCACCAAATTTATATAATTACTTTAAGATATTGTTATATCCTTTTAGAGAAAATAAATTTAAAACAAGAGTCAGCTGTACTGCTGCAACACCATCTTTATAAGTAGTATATCATTATACTAAGCAATATTTTCTATATGTGGAGTTTACTATAGTTCTCCAGTACAACTATTAGCAAAATCATTTATCACTCAGCAAGACTTCCGCCTATTTTTTTACATGATCTTTAAAAATAATTAAAACAGGAAATAAAAGAGGCAAACCTGTGGTGGTAAAAAGTTCTTGACTTTCAGAGTAGCCTCTTGTCTGGCTTTTACCTGAAATAAAGAAAATATGCATATACAATGTATTTTATCAACCACATAGCCCCTTTTGTGGACCCCACAGAGATCGCATAGCTTGACCAGCGAGCTTACTCATCATCAGTGCAAGGCTTATCAGCAGCCAAAGTCAGTCAAAGAATTTTTACGGTTTAAACTTTATTGATATTTTGTGTTTTTTACAACGATAATTAAGATTTTTATTTGGGAAATAATTTACTTTGGAACAAATTCTCCAACTGGTAAGTTGTGATTTCATATCTTTTTTCAGAATTCAGTACATAACCGATAATTATAAGAATCCTTTGTTCTGTCGTTTAGACAAGATGTCTACTCATTTCCGTAAAGGAAACGTAGCAAACTGACAAAAAATTTGCTATTGAAACAGTGTCGTACAGACATGTGATAGCATAACCTCTTACGGAGGTAAAAAATATTATTCTCTTACGGAGATATTATTACCCTAACCTCTTACGGAGGTAAAAAATATTATTCTCTTACGGAGATATTATTACCCTAGCCTCTTACGGAGGTAAAAAATATTACCCTAGCCTCTTACGGAGGTAAAAAATATTATTCTCTTACGGAGATATTATTACCCTAGCCTCTTACGGAGGTAAAAAATATTATTCTCTTACGGAGATATTATTACCCTAGCCTCTTACGGAGGTAAAAAATATTATTCTCTTACGGAGATCTTACATAACATGGAAAATGAGCCCGAACCTCTTACGGAGGCACAAATATAGATACAAATATATTCTTATTTGGAAATCCATAAATTTATTTACAATAGGCTATATCATGCTATACGTACAAACAATTTTCCGCTTTATCATTAAAAATAGCGGCAACCATAAACTGACCCTTACGCGGGTCATATTCATAACAGTGATTTATGCATCGTGTCGAACGATAAAACATTAATTAATTTATCATCTACTGCTGTAAAAAATTGTAAATAATTGTTCAAATTTGAACACCTTGAAATTAAGAATTTATCTATGCATGATGTTTTAAAAAATAGCGTTCAAATAAATTGTAATTTTGAGGGAATCCCGATTTCTGTTTACAGTGTAAAAATGGAAACACTCGTGGGCGGAAGTGAGACTGAAGCTGCGCGCGAGGAGGGAGGCACCTCACGGGATAAAATTAGCGAATTCGTTAGCAAAGGAGAAAAAATTTTCGTTAACATGACGAATACGTTGCAAGAGATGTCCCATCATGGCAAAAAGTTATCGGCAGTTGCTGAAACGGTAGAAAAGCTTCAGGCTGATCTAAAAGCAATGAAAAGAAAACATGAATCAAACAAAGAGAGTACGTCGAAAAAACGAAAAATGTCTGACAGTGACACATCTTCGGACGACGATGATGACGAAAATATAAATGACACAAATAATGCAGCAGACGTAGCTGCTATATTTTCTGATAGACAGTCTGACAATGATGGAGAAGAAGAAAATGATGATTTCCTCCAAGAACTGGATAACCAATTCAAAGAAAGACTGGAAACGGGAGACAAGGTGTCAGAAAAAATTGCTGGCTTTACAAACAGGGGTCTGCGGGCTGATCCACAGGAACAAGTAATGAAACAACTTAGAGAAAAGCATAAAAGACCAGAAAATCTACCAAACCTTCAAACTCCTCAAGTTGAGACGTTCTTGTGGAGGGAATTAAAACTGACAACAAAATTGATCGACGCAAAGCTACAGAAGTCTGTACATCAACTGTCAGACTGTCTGGTCCCAGTTATTAAAGCTTTGGACCATGTCCGAGTATCGAAGACAGTTGACAGAGAATTGATGAAAGACCTGTTAAGTGACACATTCAATATGATGGTCCACAGCATCACATCCACAAATAAAGCTCGAAGGGATAAAATAATTCAAGAGATCCATCCTACATATAAAAGCATATGTCAAAAGTCTGTGCCATCTGCCACACAATTATTTGGCGACAACCTGAAAGAAGAGGCAAAAGCTTTTTCGGAAAGAGCACCACAGATGACACAGGGTCCAAAAAATCCTTTTTTAGGGAAAAGAGGAGGGGGGCACTCCAGCAAGACCAAACAGCATTATCGGAAACCATACAACAGTGGATACAGTCAGCAGAAACCATTTTACAAACACAGCCGACCACAACTTCCTCACAAAAGTCAACACTTTCAAAAGAAAGATCAACAGATCCAACGAAAATAAATGTAAGTAAAAATCATAAAATTGTTCTGAGGAATACCACTGATAACTTCATTGCGGGAAAAACCAAATATCATTTTCATAACTGGACAAAAATAACAAGTGATCAATGGATTTTGAAAACTATATCTGGTTATGAAGTAGAATTGCAGACAACTCCGAAACAAACTACAATACCAACACCTCTGAGATATAGTGATGAAGAAGAAGTTTTAATCAGTTGTGAAATACAAAGATTTTTGAACACAAATATTATTGAAATAGTGGATGATAGTATGAAGGAAGAAAATGAATATATTTCTAACATATTTACTAGACCCAAGAAGGATGGCAGAGTAAGAATTATATTAAATCTGAAAAAATTTAATTTAGAATGTATGGAAAACATACATTTCAAAATGGAAACACTGAAATCTGCAACAGAAGCAATGCGCAAAGACTGTTATTTCGCTTCTGTAGACTTATCAGAAGCATTCTACTCTATTCCAATAAGAAAGGATGATAGAAAATATTTTAGATTTTTGTTTAACGGAACTAAATATCAATTTACTGCACTAGTAATGGGACTTACTACATCCCCAAGAGTATTCACTAAATTAATGAAACCAGTATTCGCATCACTTCGTGCCAAAGGTTTCATAAGCACTGCATACATTGATGATTCTTGCTTACAAGGGGCAACATTTAATGACTGCAAACAGAATGTTTTAGAAACTGTAAGGCTTATGGATAGTCTAGGACTAACAATACATCCTTCAAAATCAGCTTTAACTCCAAGCAAACAAGTTCAATTCTTAGGTTTTTTATTATGTTCTGAAACTATGTCAGTGAGACTAACCCCGGAAAGAATACAGGAACTTAAAAAATTGTGTCAAGAAATTATAAAGAAATCAAGAGTAACTATTAGGCAATTCGCAAGACTCATCGGCAAGATGGTGGCAGCAGAATCAGGAGTACAGTATGCACCACTTTTTTATAAACCTCTTGAACAAACTAAAGAAAAGTATTTACGAAAATCGAGAGGGGATTTCAACAAATTCATGTACATTCATGCAAACATAAAACATCATATTAAATGGTGGATTGACAACATCTCAGACAGCAAAAAATTAATTTCTCAAGGACAACCAAAATTGATAATATTTTCAGATGCTTCAAAGAAAGGATGGGGGGCAGTAGACAAAACAAACAATAATAGAACAAATGGTCAGTGGTCTTCATCAGAACAACAAAATCATATAAATATTTTAGAACTTAAAGCTTGTCAGCTAGCATTAATGTCTTTATGTAAAAATGTATCCAACTGTCATGTTCGTATATATATGGATAACACCACCAGCTGTTCATATGTTAACAAATTTGGAGGCAAAAAATCAGAACTAAACAGTTTAGCCAGAGAAATATGGCAATGGTGCTTAGAAAGAAAAATTCATTTATCTGCAGCCCATATCCCTGGTGTTAAAAATGATGAAGCTGATAAGCTATCTAGGAAATTTAATGAAGATACTGAATGGGCATTGAGACAACAAATTTTCGAAAAGATATTAAAAATATTTCCAGATATGTCAATGGATCTATTTGCATCTCGAATAAATTCAAAACTATCTAAATATGTAACATATCTTCCAGACCCCATGGCCTTTGCTGTTGATGCATTTACATTGCACTGGAATCATGAACTGTATTATATCTTTGCTCCTTTCAGCTTAATGGCCAAAATTCTACAAAAAATAGAAGAAGACGAGACAGAAGCTGTGTTGATATGTCCGCTTTGGACGACACAAACTTGGTGGGCATCAATCCTTCCCCTCATCAGCGGCCCATGTTTTTTGATCCAGAACCCACAGACAGCATTATACTTACCGCACAAACCAGAAAGAAGGCATCCGTTAAAAAAGATGAGACTTGCTGTCTTGAGATTATCAGGAAATCTCTCCAAAGGCAGGGTGTACCAACGACAGCAATTGATATCATCATGCAATCATGGCGAAAATCTACCAAAAAACAATATGCATCCTATATCAAAAGTTGGATATCTTTCTGTGGGAAAAAGTACAATCCTTTTAAGCCCTCTGTAAATCAGATTTTGGCATTTTTTGTGGTCCTTTATAGAAAAGGTAGAAAATTTAGTGTTTTCCAGACTGCTAGAGCAGCTATAAACAATCTTACTGCGTTATGTGGAGGAAATAACTTTAGTGATAATCAGTTGATGAAAAGGTTCCTTTCGGGCATTTTCACTTTAAGACCAAATTTACCAAAATATAATGAAATTTGGGATACTAACATTGTTCTCTCCCATTTAGGAAAAAATGGAAGATACTACATTAATTCAACTTTCCTGTAAACTGTGTATGTTGTTTTTACTTTTGACTGCTCAAAGATGTCAGACACTTCATTTAATAGAAATTAATGACATAGAATTACAACCAGAGTTCTGCATTATCTATCCTAATCATATTTTAAAACAAACTAAACCTGGTCATCACCTAGAGAAAATAACATTAAAAACATATCATCAAAATCCAAATCTGTGTATAGTTAGAACGTTTAAGGAATATATCCAAAGAACAAAATTCCTGCGAGGAACTGAAAAGAAATTGCTTATAAGCACACAGAAACCTCATAAATCTGTATCTCAACAAACTGTGTCTAGATGGGTAAAGAATGTTATGATAAAATCAGGCATTAATACAAAATATGGTGTGCATAGCACTAGATCTGCAGCAACATCAGCAGCAAAACTTGGTGGTGTTTCTTTACAAACAATAGTAAAAACTGCTGGTTGGAAAAATGCAGCCACATTTGCAAAGTTTTATGATAAAGACATTGACTTGTCAAATGCAACAGTGCAGACAGCCTTACTTAACAGACAACAAAATTCATAAAAGATGTTAAAGTTGTCTGTTTTTTATCCTTAGAATTATTATTAATTCATGTAAATATTGTATCAGTTTAACAACAGTTTGTTAATTTCAAGTTCTATATTAGTACAAGCAATTCAAAGTTTATATTGTTATTTTTCAATTATACATATATGGTAAAGAAGCAACTCTAAAATCTCTGTGGGGTCCACAAAAGGGGCTATGTGGTTGATAAAATGGAAAGATTAAACGAGACTTACCTTCGTAGAGGGGAAGTTGAAGTTTGATCAATATTTTATCAACCACAAGCCTCTTTTGGGATCACACACCCACCCAGCCCAACCCTTGATTATATTATATATCTTGCTTCTTTGCCATTTTACCATATTTAGATCATATAACCATTATGATCTAAATACACTCTAAAGACTGATGAGTAAGCTCGCTGGTCAAGCTATGCGATCTCTGTGTGATCCCAAAAGAGGCTTGTGGTTGATAAAATATTGATCAAACTTCAACTTCCCCTCTACGAAGGTAAGTCTCGTTTAATCTTTCCATTATCAATTACTTAAGTTTGGAAGTTTAAAATGCTGTTTAGGCAGTTGTAACAGCCACTCTGCTGCTAACTTGGTCAAACAAATGCATGCAGTGCCGAGGCTCGTCTTTTAGGTGCCAACACTTGTGTGTTATTCCCTTTTTTAACTTAAAATTGCTTATTTAGGTTGATTTGAAATTTAGTCACAATGATTATAATACAATATAGTCTTAAAAAATATATTGATTGTTCTCCTTTCCTGCTACCTACCAAATAAAATCATGGCAACCCAAAACATTTTTTTTTTCAAACAAATTAATGTTTATTTTTTTTACTATGCATGGGAGCACCTAATTATGTTTGAAATTTGTCTGACTAAATTGTGTAAAAAATATATTTACTTCACCATTCATTTTGTATAAGATGCGATTTGACATATTAAAATACAAGCTGCATTATTCTGTTGAAAAAAACCCCATCTAATTTACATGCTACCTGTCTCTTATTACACCGTTATAGTTTGCAAAACCATTAAAGAATTCATTTTTAATACGTTTAATATTGGCCCTCTTGAATTTTAATGTAAAAGGATGAGATGTCTACGTTATGTTTACCTACAGATAGTTAGTATATCTCCAATAAGACGATTGTAAACAATAGAACGATAATGAAGGCTCGCCCAGTATCTGATTATCGTAAACGTATGTAAACACGCGGAATATTGATTATCATACTAATGTCCATTAAATTCGGTAAAACATTCAATTAAAATAATGGAATAGTTTGACACGAATTTTGCGAGAGCTATCTTTTAACATGTGAAACTAGTTCAATATTTACAAGTTGTCAAGTACACAGGCTACTTTAGTCAGTATAAATATTTGGACAATACTCAGGTTTTCTAACCTTAAATATTGAGAAATTCAATTTACAGATCTTATTGTCTCACAATCAATAAATAATTGAAATAATGACAACTTTTCCATGATTCAAATGAAAACAATATTATTAGCAGTAATAAAATTATATACATTTCTTAAATGGTAGACCTGAATTATAATGGAACTTGCAATAGTTAAAATTGATTTTTAACATGATAAAAGAAGACCATTATTATTTATTAAGCAAATAAACAAGAGTTTGAACTAACATCTAACAATTCTGACATGTGCTCTTTATAATATGTTGCTCGGAAGTTTATACAAGTAAAGATTTACCAAATATTTTTTGCATAACATAAATTTTTCTTAATTCCAAAAACTGTTTTACTACAAATTTACATTAATTCTATACAGACAACATGTTTCTAACAGAAACAAATTTTAGACAATTATAGTCTATATGAATACCATATCAAATGCAAATCTCAAATTGATGCTTACAATCACTTTAATAAAATAAATTTTATTAGAATCAAAATAACTACTCTGAAAATTGCTAGTAACCATTAACTGAATATACTTCAAATTAGAACTTGCTAAATCTAATTAGTACATATGTTTAATCTAAATAATTCAATATGTTATATAATCAGTCAGAAAATTGAAAAAGTTGTTCATTCATTAATTAAAATCTGTAATGTTACAAGAATTTTTTAAAATTGTATGAAGCCTTACAATACAAGATTATCAATCCAATGACTGGCTTATTGAAAGCCAAGTCTTGTAGCTTTCAGCTCCAGTGAGTTGATTCATCAATTTATTAAAATCAATATCTATAAATTGGGGTAGTAATTTTTCAATATTATGATATAATGCTGCATATTGAGTTTTTTAGGTACAATTTTTGCTGGATTTTACTTCACTCTGACTCTGAACATGTCACGGCATTGGTCACTTTCAAGCTTTACTGGTGGAAGAAGACATCAAGTGATCCCTTTTGAGCATTATTTCAGGCATGAGCAGCACCCAAGAAGAATAGCAAAAGTTCTGTAAGCTAGCTGGCTAGATTCCCTAACATGAAAGAATCCAGTCCCTGCATGATAATACTTGAAACAACAGTAGTTAAAGCATTAGTGACTTGAAGCCGGCAAGCATTTAACCACTTCATTACAATTTTTTTTTTTCCGAGCTCTGAGATTTAAATATTTCTAAAAATGTTTCTTAATGTAACAATACAATCATGTATTTCACAATGCCAGGAAATGTAAGGTGTGTAGAATTCTATAATATATATGCATTAATAGTAAGTAAGTTGCAAACTTTATTTTCTGTATTCACAATATAACCTTTATATTTCTTAATATTTAACATTCTTATGCTGTATATTAGTGTATAATATAAATCGTCTTGAAGGCAGAAAAGAATATCTATCTGGATCAATATCATACAGTTTAAAAAACCCTAAAATTATTTTAGATGATTATCTATTGATAGCTAAGATATGCCTCTGTATAAAGGCACCCTCATTTGCATATACCATATTATATACCAATTGTCATGTTGCCAGCTCTGCTTTAATGGGATTGCATGCGAGATAATGATATATCGAGACTATGTGACACGCTATCTCGATAATTAACATCATATGTTACAAATTATTCATGGGAGTTTATAATCCCCTTTGTTCTTCCGATTAAACCATTAAATGCTGCGTTAAATGTAGCATCGCCATTTAAATAGACTTTCATAAATACTATAATCATAGTCCCCGAGGAGCGATTATAGTAACAATTGAATATATTTGCGCGATTTTACAGTGATTCCCATTAAATTACGGTTTTAATGGGAAAATTTATTGCATATTTAACTTGCATATACCATTGTGCAACTATGCCCGTTTGGTTAAATATGTAAGCGGACAATTAAATTGCCAGATAATTATAACTGACTACATTAAACTTAGATCTGCTATCAACGTTAGCTGTCAACCAGGAATCAGTGGGAACTAAAAGCGTCTACATTTAGAAAACTAGCATGACTGCAGTGTTGGTGATGAGAAATCCATAAAATCATGTCATCAATCAAACAGAATTACACGTGCCTTTAAAAAGATATTAAAAGCTTAAACAAGTCAAAACCTCAAAACGCAAATATTTTTAAAATTGTCAGTGTTTTTAGCATTTTATCAAAAAGTTTTAAATTATTGCCACCAACTTTTTACACCAGTCCTGTGTTATTTGAAATTAATTTTAATGAATCTTAAAACTTATAATATTAAACTTAATCCACAGTCTATAATTATAGAACACCTCATTTTGTTTGGATGTTTTTCTAGAGTTTTAACGCCAATTTTAACACAATCATAATTTTATTTATATATCTGTGGGTAATCCACCTAACCAGCATTTCTGGATAACTAACCAGTTAATACCTATTTCTGTGCAAGTGACGGACTTACTTATCTCACATCTGAATCTTGTTTTCTGAATCTTGTTTTGAAAAACAAATGATCATTAATAAGACTTATTGTCCGAGATCAATTGTCACGAACAAAATACACCTCGCCAAAGGATTGAACCGAAACCTGAGGACTTTTCATCTGATACTTTCCCTACTATATAAAACATATAATTATCATCTATTGAATGAACAGACAACTAGTTAACTTAGAAAATTTTCAAGTCATACTACTGAAGTAGTAAATCGAGCAGTCATTTGAACATATTGTCACATTTTAACACTTCCAGACACGCAAAAACAACCAAATCTTACTGGAAAAAACATTTAACGAGTTCTTATGTGGATAATTCATTAAAAAAAAAATCACAGTATTTTATTAATTTCATGGTTTCATGATACCAACATGGAATAAACATATTTCCCTTACAAGGATTTTCACAACATATTTGTTTCAAAGTTTATCCTTAAACAGCAAACTTAATCTTACTTACATTAGTTCTCAACAGTTTTGGTGCGTATACTTCCACATATTTATCGAGCATATCGTGCGAAACTAACGCTGGTGCGGGGGCTTTCTCCTTCCTTACCAGTGTGCTTGGTTTTAGATTCTTCACATATACAGAACTCATATTTCTCCAAGGTTTTTATTACATGTATTTTGTTGAAATATTCCGATAAAAGTATTTGATTGTTGTTTTGAAATTTCCTCTTGCTTTTAAGTAAAGCTGGATTTTTACTCGATTTTCTTCGATTATTACTTTTCTCTTTGATTCATTAATTCATAATGTCCTTTTGTGTTTTGATGTATCTTTGAGTTTATTATCCTCAGAACAATTGTCTTTATTTTCTCTTATGGTTTCAGTTTACTTTTCTTAACAACTGTAGTCTTGAATATTAATAAATTTAGAGGGTTTTTTTTCTAAAATTTTATCCCAGAAACCATGTTACATAATTACATCATTTTTAAATAAAACATTACATTTGGTTGTTTAAAATCCTCAAATACATTTTCAGTGGTATACAAGAACAATCTTATACCGAAGATTTAATGAATCTATAAATATGAGCAAAATATCCACCAAATATTGAACACGAGGGGTACGGTACGTCAGTCTGGCTGCAAGAACTTCAAATTAGCCTTTTAAATACAGGATCTTTTACGTAGTAACATATCAAATTAATATCATAGGGACTATCAAAATTCATTGGAATTGGTTTTTAAACAATGCCTTAAACCAAAAACAATAAAGTCGACATACTAGGATCCTACGAAGAGCTTGTTGCAAAGAAAAACACAATTTAGACCTACATATTCAGATTATTGACTGCATGCAATCTTTATTCTACCATGACATAATATGCTGACATCAGCAATATCACCTTAGCTTAAAATGCCATTGTTTCAGGACATAATCATGGTCTTATAGTGTGACATAATCATGTAGAAATGAATAAATGGTGTAATATTGAACAAAAATAATATCATGATTAAATAGTGTAAATCTCATGAAAAAAAAAATATGATAAGCTTGTAAAAAAGTGACACGAACATAAATAAACACAGAAAATCTAATACATGTAGACAAAAAGAATAACAGCAACCATCTCATGAAAAATTGATTGGAGCAGGACCAAATTAACACAATGATATTTGTTCAGAAATAAATATTTAAAACTTATGAAACTTTTATGAGAACCTTTCAGGTAGCATGAAGCTCAAGATGCATATATAAGTTAAAAATACTCACTCTTGTTAAACTTCTTCCAACACTTTTGACAAAAACATATTCTCTTGGCACTAACTCTGTTCCTAACTGTTGCTCTATTTCGTCTCGTAATGCATATAACTTTGTCTCTGGATGAACTCTGAAAACATTCAAAATGTATTTTATATTTTAAAATCAGAAAATATACAAGTGCAACTAGGGACTGGATTACTTCGGGCCAACACAGTAGAGGTCATATAATAGTGACTTTCCACTGGTGCAAGGAGACCTCAGGTGTGCCTCATTATTTCAGGTACAAACAAGCATCTGAGTAGAACCACTGATGTTCTGTCAGCTAGCTGGATAGTTTCCTTACATGAAAGGATCCTGAGTCCTTGGCGGGATTTAAACCCACATCAGTTTGTGGGTAGGAAGAGGTTTGAAGTTAACAATCTTAACCACCCAGCCATGAATGCCCCATTTCTGATGGTTCCATTGATTGAGTTGTTGTGGAAACCGACCTTGCACACACAACAAATACTGAAGGGAATACTTTTAAGAAATCTGTTCTAATGTTTAGTTGCTATTTATTAGTTGAAGAATATTTCTCTATGCCTAACATAATTACATGTGGAAAAAAACAACAACAAAAACAACAAAGGGCCATAATTCTGTCAAATATCATTGAAATAACAAAACCCTCACTTTTATACTCCTAGGCACTTTGTGATTAAAAATCCAGTTGATATCTGTTGTAAAAATCTGGTTAAAAATTTATAGAAATTTCCAGGGAAAAGGTATTTAATTTAGAAACTGAAGCTGCACCCAGATTTCAACAATACCCAGATTCAATTAATAATTCTATGGGTGCTTTTTTCTTCATTTTTCCTGGTTATTAATATGACATAATTGCAGCAGACTAACAGAATGTATTGTTATATCATGTATATTTGATCATGGCAGCCTGATGATGTATCTGTGCAATTGTTTCCCCGGTAATACATTACCGACCATTCCTATACAAAATCAATCCACTTCAAACATTTAAAATATTCAAACATTTTGATACCCAATGCACAAATCAATTTCTAATTAAAATTGTATTGTAAAAATTTTGTTCCAGCAAAAGTGATATTATGAAAATTTTCTCATTTCTCAAATGTGAATTGAAAATTAAAAAAAATTCATGGAATCATATATTAGTTGCTATCAATGGTAAAGTTTGGATCAATAATCATCAAAAACATAATATTTGTACTGAACTAAAGGATATTTTCCCAACTATTTGTCTTTAATCCCTATTCAAACATAATTTCAGCAGTTCTCGATGCCTTTAAATCAATTGGAAAAGGAGAAAAAAATAAAAAAGCTAACAAACTGCAACTGGTAAAGTCTTATAATTCACTTTTCATTATGCTCGAAAGCGATCAAAGCATAAATTAAAAGCTAAAAAAAGTCAATTTATGGCAACATGGTGGAATCATAAACACCTTTCTTCTAGTGCCAGTCATTTATCAAAGTAAAACTTAAAGAGCCTTTTTATCAGACACATATGCTACCCCTGAAATTATTAACATGCTGGAAACAGTGCTGTGAAGTAACTTATATGACAGGCTACAAATTATTGATTTTTGTTTACAGTGGCCAGGTAACAATTATTAATACATTTGAACTTATAATTTACAGAATTTAACAGTGCAGCTAATATTCAGTAATTCATACCCCCAGCAGACATATGATAAGGGTATGAATTTCTGTTTGTTAAAGAAAAATATAGAAATAATCATCATTATAAGACATTGAGGGCCCCACATTCTATAATATCAGTCTATGGACCAACAGAGCATATAACAGCAGGATATGAGGAGGTGATCATGAGTAAATAAGGCATTGTGTATGGTTCGTTTCCTTTATTTACACTAAATGCTTACATACATTATGGGGAAGCAAAATTATGTTAATAACATAAACAAGAGCTGTCGGTAGGACAGCAACGCTCGACTATTCTTAGTGCTTGATAGTAAAAAAAATGCTTGATACAGTTACCTCCTCCTGTTTACAGGTTGGGGTCATGATGGTGAACAAGTGTGCAAAGTTTCAAAGCCATATGACAATGGACTTTGAAAATATTTGAACTATTACAAAAACTTTAACGTAAATTCTAAGTCGAAAAAGGGGCATAATTCTGTCAAAATGCTTGATAGAGTTACCTCCTCCTGTTTACAGGTTGGGGTCATGATGTTGAACAAGTGTGCAAAGTTTCAAAGCCATATGTTAATGGACTTTGAAAATATTTGAACTATTACAAAAACTTTAACGTAAATTCTAAGTCGAAAAAGGGGCATAATTCTGTCAAAATGCTTGATACAGTTACCTCCTCCTGTTTACAGGTTGGGGTCATGATGGTGAACAAGTGTGCAAAGTTTCAAAGCCATATGACAATGGACTTTGAAAATATTTGAACTATTACAAAAACTTTAACGTAAATTCTAAGTCGAAAAAGGGGCATAATTCTGTCAAAATGCTTGATAGAGTTACCTCCTCCTGTTTACAAGTTGGGGTCATGATGTTGAACAAGTGTGCAAAGTTTCAAAGCCATATGTCAATGGACTTTGAAAATATTTGAACTATTACAAAAACTTTAACGTAAATTCTAAGTCGAAAAAGGGGCATAATTCTGTCAAAATGCTTGATACAGTTACCTCCTCTTGTCTACAGGTTGGGGTCATGATGGTGAACAAGTGTGCAAAGTTTTAAAGCCATATGTCAATGGACTTTGAAAATATTTGAACTATTACAAAAACTTTAACGTAAATTCTAAGTCGAAAAAGGGGCATAATTCTGTCAAAATGCTTGATAGAGTTACCTCCTCCTGTCTACAGGTTGGGGTCATGATGGTGAACAAGTGTGCAAAGTTTCAAAGCCATATGTCTATGGACTTTGAAAATATTTGAACTATTACAAAAACTTTAACATAAGTGGTTACGCCGATGCCGACGCCGACGCTCGGGTGACTGCAATAGCTCTACTTATTCTTATCGAATAGTCGAGCTAAAAATGTTTTCGTGTAAAAGAGACGTTATGTGACTTCGCACCAAATCTATAACAGCAGGACATTACATAAGCGGAGCAGGACTTGCAAGGGCAATCTATGATATCCACTAACCCATTAAATTGGGGCATAATAATTTACATGATATTTATAAAGTAATAAAATAGGTAAAACAGTGTCGCATTAAAGTGATGTCATAATGATAATTTCTATCATGAATGACATCATCTACCATAAGTCTATGTCATGTGATCACAAACAAGTCTTAAGACAATATGCTGCACAAATATGATGTTGATGGAGACTAACACCTATAATTAAAAAAAAAAATTGTTTTATTTATCTTTCTATTCAGTCTCATAATTCAGTAAAAGTCACAATATTGTTAGCTAAAAATTTTACTTGATTAAAAAAAGTTAAAAACCGACATTAACAGAAAATAAGAAAACAAATAGCGAAAATATTTTCAACAAAAAACACGTCTTTCCCTAGGTTGATTAAATGGTGAAGGGATAGCTTGAAACGTGATAATCTGGTTAGACGCAACCTTACGACAGGTCCAAGGAGTGTTAAAATACTTTTAATCCTTCCTCTTTACCCTCTGCATAACATTAGGATTTATAAAATCAAATGTTACCATTAAAATGCACTTTGTTAAAAAGATCAAAACATTCTAGACTAATGACAAATCAAATCTCTGTAAATCTGTCTGAAAAGAGTTTTACAAACAGATTTATGTAATATCTGACTGCAACGCAAAGCCCGAAAAAAATCAATTTGAATTAACATAAATAACACGTAAACTTCTCAACATTCTTGCCCAACGGTACTGTGAAGCTGATTTAATTCACCGTTGCTCTCCCTTTAACATGCACCTTTGTGACATGATATAGAGAACCATATACCTAGTAAACTTAAAGTGACCACCTCTGTAAAGCAACTACCTGGGGGAGATGAAAGATTTGGTTGTTGCTAAGTGAAGGTTCTCTATGGATCATTTCATACTGTTGTTGTAAAGAGGTTTTTGCTTAACAGAGGGCTGCTGTACTGCTATATCATTGTACTGCTATTATACTGTATAATACAAAATTGTACAATTATAAACTGAGCAAATTCTCAATTTTTAAAACCTTTGTCAAAGTATGAGATGTAATAAAATTTTGCAATAAAATATTTAGGGTATATAATTATGAATATTTTGTACAGGTCTGATCATCCAGTGAAGTTAGATGACTTTCCAGTTTATTCCACATTAGTATATACTTTCTTGACATTTGAAATTCTGTTTAAATAATATGTTATAAATGCTTTATATAAACTCTTTTTCAGTACAAAATGGCCACATACTTTCCTAAAGTTATTCAATTGATCTGTTTTAACAAATTGTTTCAAATCTGAACAGTTTAACATTAATCCTAAATCTCCCGGTTTAATAAGAAACCCATCAAAAGTGGCTCCCTGAGGATTTTAAAACATTTCATACTATGTCCTGAATTCCAATATCAACCCTATCAAATATAAGTCATATACAAAATACACTAAAAAAATCTAACATTATCTATGATACAATCTTTTTTGAAAATTTGTTGTATGTAAGATAACAACCTGAAAATTAACAAATATTCCAAGATTAGTATGTCAAGTATTATATAATGCAGTTTAAGATGGTTTATAATTAAAGACTATCATTTAAATTTGATTGCCTTCTGAAGCTATGCTCACATTGTTGCTAAAATACCGTAAAATTCCTATTAAACGCCCCTGGGGGCTAAACATTTTCCAAAAGGGGTGCTATTATTACAACACAGTTTTTCCTGAATCAAAATATCACTGTAAATACATTTAGTGTTAGCAAGTGTTGGTAATAACATTAAAAAGTGTTATGGTTTTAAAGTTCATATTATACATATTTGTGTTTACTATATAATAAAATGGATTCTGAATGATTTAAATAAAATGATGGCTTTAATTATGAGTTCAGCACTGATGAGTAGATTGTTTTCCTTATCAAAAAGCCTAGGGGGGGCCTTTATTAGGGGAGGGGCATTTATTAGGAATTTTACGGTAGGTCTGTCTGGCAGTTATGTACTATAAATTAAAACAAGTCC